CTCTGTGCATATGGTTTACATAATCTCGCATAATAGAACCCATTGTCTTGGTGAGGAATGTTTGCATGGAATATAGGTGGCAACAGGTCAACCTCAATGATGTAATGCTCCTATAGGGCTCCAGATTCTCTTTCTCCCCTCCCGCCAACCCCATTATTCACTGGGTTCATACAAGGCATCCCAGTTATCGAGCACTTTGCTAGATTTTTTTAAAAAAAAATTCTGGTCAGCCCGGTGTTGGACACGTGCAGAAACCCATTACCATGTTTAAGAGTATTCAAACCAAGCTGAGAATTCCATGCATCCCGCCTACACATGGAAATCCCAGAGATAGATTGGAATGCTGGAGGGACTCATCCTGCTTATCTAATTCCAGAAAGTATTAGGTGCAAGTTGGCAAGAGCCAAGGCTCGGGGATCCCAGAGTGTGCGTTGAGGTACTGAACCAGCTAAAAATCCATAACTTACTATTGATATAATTGTCTGGCAAGCTTTCCTGTTGCTTGTCCAGCTGGGATCACCCTACCCTTTAAGGCTTTGGCTTGCAGGAGCTGAGTGGGAGGATTCCTTGCCCCCCGTGACTGGTCTGCCCTTTCAAGTCCTGCCGATGAGCCAGGACTGTCATCAGCATTGCTCTGGAATACTGCAGACCCACCTGGCTCACAGGTGACACTTTCAGCAATGTAATGTCGGAATCTAGCCAGCCCTCTGGGGCCGTCTCAATAGTCCGGGTCCTGGCTCAGCAACCAGACTATCGAGAACGCCCCAGAGAGCTAGCTTAATTCTGGCATTACGTTGCCAAATGTGCCACCTTCGAGCCAGTTGAGCTCCGAGGAGACCCTGTTTACCTCCTCCCCGCCTCCCCCCGCCCAGCATGGGTTTGAGATTTCAACACAGGCTGGTGGACCCGTGGTTTCTAAATGTTGGGTAGATTTTTGACGTATACTGGCTGCCTGAAAAACAGCCAACTTCTAGGTCGTAGGATTGCCACCCACGTCACTTCCTACAAAGTGCGATCTGTGCTATTCCTAAGAAGCGCCACTACATTACTTTCTGTGCACTGCACATGTGCGCTACATGCAGGAAACACTGCTGATGTCACTTTGCACAGCAAGTGATGTTAGTTGTGATCTGATGTCCTGAGCATCAGTCATCATTTCCCACTCTATTTTAACATAGCCACTGAGATAATAGACCCATGCGACCATACTATAACAAGAAGACTTTTCTTATACTTTTCAAGAAGATGGAGAAAAGATGAAAAAATAGACAACCAATTTATTGCAAACTCCTGTACCAGCTCATAAATGATTTGATGCATGGAGTCGAGACCAACAAATCAAGGTTGAAAACAAATCTCATCTTGAACCCTGCAGACCTTTCCCATTTCATAACTCCTTTAGGTGCGCCAATAAGCTGTTAAGAGTCAGAATCTCATTCCCTGGCACCTGTTCATTGTCTGATAGTTTAGTCTGCTCTGGCATGCTCACGTGGTGACTCTGCTAGAATAACTTTCTTCAGGACTGGTTGGTTGATAAAATCTCTATGGTTCAGGGCCCCACTTAGCAAGCAGTTGACCTTCTTACTGTGACTGCCGCATCAGATGGAACAGAAACCGGAATCAATTTATTAAGAAAATTCCATTGTGTTTTGTTCCATATGGAGTCATTGATTTGTAGACTAGGTTTTGTAATTGTGAGTCATTGAGACAACATAAGAACATAAGAAATTCTAGATGAACAAAGATCAAGGTCCATCTAGTTCGCCTTCCACCTTCCAGGCAGTTGCGAGACAAGTAACATCACAAGTGAATGTTGCTGCACGTTCTGAAAAGATCATCTATCCTTCTTCTAGCTTCTAATTTATTTATCTTCTTATACTAATAAAACCACAATGTCTGTCTGTGCTTCAAGAAGGATTGACATAGAAACATGATTTATACGTCATCGGAAAGATCTTGGATCTGGGAGTGACGTGGGCATATTGGTTTTCGGGCATTTCCTATTGTTCATCAGTTATTTCCAGTTTTTTTTACTGTAGTTACACCTGGTGGTTGCCGAGTTGAAGTGGCGCTGTGGCATCGGGCGTCACAGAGCACCTACATATGTAGGCACACACTGCAGTTACACCTGGTAGCTTTATCAGCTGACCGTGGCGCTGTGGCATCCTGCGTCACAGAGCACGCATGTAGCCAAGCGACAGGAACAAAATAAAGAACACAGACGAAGCTAAACCGTGGCAACAACAACAAAGTTAAATTTTTAAAGCGCCGAGTCCTCCCACTGAGTCCTTCCAAAAGCGGTCCTCCCACAGGAGTGGTGATTGTCTTTGTTTTACTTTTGACATGTTTAAAACTCCTAATTCTTGTTCCCCAGTCTGTACTGTGTCAGCTGATCACTGGCAGTAACAGTGGCACTGCACCTGGCTTCAGTTTATCTTTGTTAAAGAGAAAAAAATAATCAGAATTCATCCCCCGTGTGAAAATGTACATCACAAACATCCTCGGAAACACTCTCATGCAAAATAAAATGTCCGTTGACTTCCACTGAAGGACGAGAGTTGGTGGTTCTAAAAGTAATTCTTTTGAACTGAGTTATGTGCACCATTCATTGCCAGTGGTAGGGTGGGGCTTGATGTGCATATGGGTAAGGCACATTGACTTTCAGGTAATGTGTCAATCCTGAACCTCAGAATGGCTAAGAAGGACACGGTTCAGATCTCCATTACGTCAGCTGATAAGAAAGTGCTCTAAGAGTGTGCATGTTAGTACAGTGAGTACAGAATATGGAGTGCCTCTGTGTTGCTACCAATATCGTAAATTGCATGCGGCACAGTGCACTCTTGCCAAAGTAGCTTTGGAGAGTTTTCTGCTCTAAAAGTGGTGAAAAATAAGCTGGTGCTTACCAGAAACTGGAATGGAACGATACCCTTTAGCGAACGCTCTTCTTAATTCAACTAATCTTATCCATCATATAAAATGGAGCAACAATGACAAGATTATATTTGTATAGTGCCTTTCATGTCGGGAGGACATCCCAAAGGAGCTGGAAGGACAGCAAACTGGTGAATCGTGAAGTATTTTTGTGATAAAATGCCTTTGATTTGCTGCACGATAAGAAACGAGCCTTTTTAAAACGGTGGGATCGGCAGAAAGAAATGACCTTTGTGTCAAATGGAAGAAATTGAGCGAGATTTTATAAATGTATTTTCAAGTAAGTAAGTAGGTCATAAGTGTCCCAGGTTATTTACTGTGTTTTGTTTTGGTCATGGGTCCATATTTAGCAAGGAATTTTAAACGCTTCTTCACATGTGAAGCCATAAAGCAGTGCAACAAGCAACTTTGACAATTCATTATTGGGGTTAAGCAGTGGAGATGCCAGAAAGGTACTGTGCAATCTGTGAAATGCAGAAAGAGGAGGCTGTGTGTTTTAAATGATTTACTTTATTGCGGCAAATTGACAACCGCATTGTCTTCCTCCTTCTTGAGAAAAATAGCTACTGCTAGTGAATAGGTTCATGTCTACAACAATTCAACTATATAAGTGTAAATATCCGTAGTCCATGTGTTCCTGGCGATCAGTGACAAAACTACAGTGTAAATCAATCCTGCTAGACAAACAGCTACTTAAAGGTACCAAATGTTTCCTGTCACCAATATCATTGTGGTCATGTTGAGGCTGTCTGATAGCTTGTTAAATGTCCTCATAAATTCATGCTGTCTTTTTTTATTTGATAACCATATGGAGAAGGAGCACATGCATGCAGTGCAGAAAAAGCAGCTTGCATCCACATAAATTGTGAAGGGGTGGGGGGGGCAGTTGAAGGAGAGGGATATTTTTAAAATACCTTGTAGAATTGAAAACATTCCCTCTTGAAAAAGCTCAGCTGCCTGAAAATGAAGTAACCTGCCTACCTTTTTTATTTTATTTTAAATAAGTCAACATGTATACTTTTTATTCCCCCTGAGCCTAATTTACATTGTGAGAAGCAAACGTACCTTTCACTGCTCCACACTGTGGTGGTGTAAACTGAGTGACAGTGATTAGTGAATGTCCCTGAACTGTGACATTTGCTTTTGTGAAAATAACACTGAGATCCTGTGTTCCAAACAACATTGGTGTTGCGGTGTGGTGGTGGGAGATGTAATCACTAAGTATTCACTAATTATTTTAATCATTTTTTTCAACTCCTTAGTGAGTTGGAACACTGTAGACGAACGCACTGTGACCTCTTTATTTTAAAAAGAATTGAAATGATTCACCGGCCTTGGGAATATGTTTTGATACATGAGGGAGGGAAAAGCTCAGGGGAATCTCTTGTGCTCTGAGGCCGGATTTAATATCTCCTAGTGCACAGCGATATTAAATGTTCCATTAGTTTATTGATCATGTGACGATATCCTTTTGATCGTTGCACTGTTTCTATTGATGCGCGAAGGGAAGGAAGCTTTGAATTAAAAATGTGTGGACTCTTGGCATGACGTGATGGTGCTACAAGCAACCACTTCTCCTCTGCCAATTGCCACGTGACTATCGGGGGCATCCAATTGCTCTGCTGAAATTGGCAGTGGAATGGGAGGTGGCCCGAGTTACTTTGGCCCTCCGTTACTCCCTTCATCTATTCAATCCCTAAGGCCGGGGTGAGGGTGGTGGCTTCTGCTTGGTCACTTATCGTTAAAGGTGTAGCTCAGATTTTGGGAGCTCGATGTGAGTTCTGTCTAATCCCATATTCAGGCACCAAATGTTCTGCTGCCCTCAAATTGGACGTTAAATATCCCAAGACCTTATTTCCTCCATAATCCGGTCCAACAATCCTCGAGTTAACCTTGCCTTTCACCTCATGACTGTGTGACATTGCCTTGTGTAAAATGTAATTACTGTACTGTGAAGAGGGTTTAAGAGGTTTCAACCTTATAAAAACAGGTTCTTCAAAGAAACGGCAGTGTGAGATTTTTACAGCACAGTTATTTCTAAAGTAAACATCTTTATTTGTCTTTCGCAGGTGGAATGAACAGAGAATTGTTTGATGAGAATAATATTGAAGATGCCATTCTCCCTTGCTGATGATATCTGAACTGTGAATCTCTAGTAGTGGTTTGAAGGAGCTATGCTTTCAGATCGGTAAGTATAGTATTACCATTTCCTGCTCTTAATAATGGTAGGTAACAATAATGACAATCCTTGATTTTGATATACAGTACTGTACTTCCTTATCACGTTCCCGAAACATTTCAAAGTGTTTCGCAGGATTTACTGTAGTGCAGTGACTATTTTTGTAGGCTACCTTAGCTACAAAATCAGAAGTTTGTTCAAGTTTGGATTGAAAGTTCTGGTTTCCTTTAAATAAAACGTTTGAAAGAGGATTTCAACTGAACTTGGTGTTTATTGTGTATGAAGTATCAGTCCAGGTCAGTCGGTAGCATTCTCACCTCTGAGTCAGAAAATTGTGGGTTCAAGTCCCGCGTGGGGCCTTTAAACTTACAGTCTTGGCTGTAACTCCAATGCAGTGCTGGGGATGCAGTGCATTGTCAGAGGTGCCATCCTTCAGGTGAGATATTAAACTGAGGTCCCATAGAGGTGAACGTTCAAAACGAGAAGGGAGTTTCTCCTCGTATTCTGTCCAATAATTCCCCAAATAAGATTGCATTGGGTTTCATTTTCAATCTCATTTAGCATTTTGTGTTTCTCTAAAAGGTCCCCTCTGAGACATTTCATCTCTTTTCAAGGCTGAACTGATCTACCTTATCTAGCATCTTCTCATACCTTGTCCCTCTTGACACTGAGAATCATCCTCATTGCTCTCGTCTGCAATGCCTCATGCATCTGAACCCAATGTTGAATGAACAAATTAACATGCAGAATTGAAATTGTACTATTGCTGAGTGATCATGGAATAATGCCTTTACGTTGCCCAGTAATATCCTGTTTAGAAAGACTGGAATTTAATTAACCGTGAGAAATTACCTACCTTGTTTCCATTGCCAATATAAATAACTCAACTCAAGTATTTATGAATTAGATTCCCCGGAAAAGATCCATCTGAAGAACTGCTTTTAACACTGCATTAAATTGGAGGTGTGTTCACTGTCGGAGGTTATTGCTGGATAATTAGTTAACACGTTTCTGTTATTCCTGAGCTCTTGTTATCAGATTGCTCAGCTACTCAAAAGGCTAAATCATAATGGTTTCTTGATCCCAAATAATCCTCATCTACTAATTTGTATCACCTTTGCTACACTTACTGGCTGTATTGATGAAGTACCTCAGGGGAGGTGTCATGGTGGAGGCGGGTGATATTTCATGGTGAGGGAAAGCTGAGTGGGTTTAGAGTTCAGATGTAGTGTTTAAAGGACAGTTGGGAATCAACCAAGACACTAAGGTTCTGCAATGGCTCTGCGAGATGGAGTGTGCATCCATACAGGTTGATGCTGTCAGCATCAGGATGAGTGAGTGTGATGTAGGATTAGTTCCTGACCCAAGCTTCCGTATGGGATAGTTCATGTCCAGATACAGTTAGGATAATAGCAATTATAACAGCAATACAATACAATTTACTCTTTTGCAATTTTCACATTGGGAAGGTGTCTCAAAGTGCTTTACACAGCTGACTCGGCATATGAGGTGGTGGTGGTGGGGGTGGGGGAAGAGGAGCTGACGAGGCTGGGGAGGGAAGCAGGAAGATGACTGATGACCTCCTGACGTTAAAGGCACTATACAAATGCAATCTTGTTGTTGTTGTTGATACTGTGCAGTCAAAGGGATAAGACAGGCTTTAAAAGTAAGGATAGAAGGGGTGAGTCGGAAGCACTGAGTGGTGAGGAACCCCAGATTGTTTGGGGGTGTAGTGCAATAACTTGCACTTAAAACACATTTTAACATTTAAAATGGAGATGATATATTTCTAAATGCCACACTTTTGACACCATAATGATTAAAATGCAAATGCAAGCATTATTAATATGCAAGATGAATGTACATCTTAAAAAAAAGGAATCTGAACAATCAATCCCTAGGATTGATGAATAGAATTTGGAGTTCAACTTCAGAGTCTCTGAATGAAAACTTTAGGAGTTTGCTGAGACAGGCAAAAAATGGGCCCAACCGATGGGGATTACAAAGGAAGTCAAAAATAAGACGAAAAACATTCTTCTGATAACAGTCATAAAGGTCAGCTAGACGGAAACTAATACGACAGCAAAATGATATTGAATTAATATCTTCCGTGAAAATTAACAAATACAACAGCACCAGCTTGCCACGTAATTCCTCTTGCGCAGCCAGTGTCCTGAGTGAGTGTGGCAGAAGGTGCTCGGTAAGTTAAAGGCACTTGAAACCAACAAAGGTTCAGGGTCAGATGGCAAAATGCAGCTGCTGATGGAGAATGTGGAGGATTTCTGTAGGGCAATTTCTGTTGTCAGAAAGAATTCATTGGATTCAAAATGTGATATTCGTAAACCCAAATGACATGAGCCAAACAGTCCCTGAGTAAAGATTTGTGTGGCAAACTGTTAATACATTGACATATTGACCATCTCAGTCCTATCCTTAAAAAACTCTTCCTGGACCCATCACTTGATCTATCCCTTCTCACAATTTACCGCCTCATCTCCAACTTTCCTTTCCAAGGTCCTGGAACAAGTCTTTGCTTTCTGGAAAAATAGAGAACCCAGCCTAAAATTGTGCTTTTCATGTGTTGTATGAATTAAGATGTAAAACAGGTAATTGCTGTCAGGGGTAAAACATGTGATCTTGAAGATCCAAAATGATTATGGGGGGAGAGAGAGAGGGAAGAAGATTGTGGGCCTAGAATGAAGTTAAAACCTTTTCAAGTTTGAAGGGGAAACCTCTTTACAGATGAGGGGGAGCGGATTCCGAGCTCAACAATTACCATCCTCGCTCGCCTCCACTGGCTCCCCAACCCCCAGAGGATCGAATTCAAGATCCTCATCCACACCTACAAGGCCATTCACGGCCTTGCTCCCTCCTACCTCTCTGACCTACTATCGCCCTACCTACCTGCCCGTACCCTCCGTTCCTCTGGCTCCGGTCTGCTCCACATCCCCCGCCCCAACCGTCCTACCATCAGTGGCCGGGCCTTCAGCCTCTCAGCCCCTAGGCTCTGGAACTCTATCCCCCAGGGCCTTCGCCGCCTCCTCCCTTTCCTCCTTCAAGGCCGGTCTCAAGACCTTTCTCTTTGACTGTGCCTTCAGCTCCCCTCTCGACTCTCTACCCCTTCCTCGCTCCCTCCCTTCCCTCCCCTCACCCTGACCATTCCCCCCTGCTCGGGTCCTGACCCAACTGTACAGCGCCTTGGGACGTCCTCCCGACGTGAAAGGCGCTCTATAAATGGAATCTTGTTGTTGTTGTTGTTGTTGTGAAAGGTGCTGTGCCAAATGCAAGGATTATTATTATATAATATAACCATTTCAATAATCCTTTCATTTCAGACTGCGTTGCAATGGAAACCACTATTTATAAGGCACGAAACTGCAAAGGACAGTTATTTGCTTTGCACAAAGCTTAACAATTAATATAATAAAACATTAAACTAAGTACACAATGAAAGACTTTCATAAGTTGCAAGGTCTTGTCTAACGCAATAGAACTGGGTTTTCTACTGTCCCCCTCTTGGTATTTTAAAAATATTTATTCCCCTACAAGGTAGTAATTTGAGACAATTAATCTTAACAAAGGAACGAGATATACCTCCAAGTGTCAATAAAGAGGGGGAGGGAAAGAGTGTGTGAGGCCACAAAGGATGAAAAGGCAGTAGGGAAGTTGAAAAGTCACCAGGAAGGAACAAGTGACTGAGAATGAAGCCTGCTGGGTGTTAGTGTGTAAAATGAGAAGGCTGTTCTTCTGTTCCGCTTGTGGAAAACTGGAGAGTAACTTGGCAGTGCTGAATTTGATGAGTGGATGTTTCTAACCAAAGTGGGTTTGTGTGTAATACGTGAATAGCTGGTTAGAGCTGGAGTCGGGCCTTCCTTTGAATAGATGTACTTATTGTAAGTGAGCAGCAGTGAGGACAGCAGAAGGTAAAGAACGCTGACGATACTTGCAGCTGTCACCTGCTGTGCCCAAAGCCAGACTCAAGATGGCCTCAAACTGTGGGTGTTTACAACTCGTGCCCAACTCCTTGCAGGATGCCTCCATTGCTTCTTATTTTTCTGCAGGTTTGTTAGGCAGGCATACAGAATCGTGAAGCCATTCCTAAAGGATGAATGAGGTGATACAGTCTGAGGCTACATTACAGAAAATAAAACCAGGATAATGGCAACTTCTAGACAGACGTTCTGTGGATCATGGAAATGTTTAATTTTTTTTGTGTTCAAGTGGCAGCCCTCCGCGAATCAGATGTGAGAAGACTGAGTTTTAGAAAGTTATATTTAATATTCTAAATTTTAGAAAGTTATAGACACATTCTGGGGTCTCCAAGCCTTGACTCTTGTCAGCCTGTGCCTAATTCTGCCTAGAATTGGGTAAGCGGGGTGTGTCCTCTAGGGAGAGAGTGCGCATTCCATTCCAGACACAGGGAAATTGTGGAACTCTAACTGGTTAAGCATGGTGATGGGTTCCTGCATGTGTTGGACTGTTGGGATGAGGGCAGAATTAAGAACTGCTTTGGTTGGATAGCTTGCTGATAGTCAATGTAGGCACACACATGAAGAATGGCCAATATCAGTCATTGTGTTCGGGATAGCACGTAACAATGGGATGAAAACATGACAGTCAAATGGGAGATTGTACCAATAATGGTGAATTGCCAGATGGTAAGGGCAGCTTTGGGGTATGGCTCATATCCATTGGGAACCGGGTGGACTCTGTCTCCAAATATATTCCCTGGCTGTCAGCAAGTACTTTCATGCCATCAGTTTGCACTAGATTTAGTCCCTGGTCTAGAAGGTGAAAGTAGTAGTTTTAAACTTCAACACCACTCAGTCTTACAGAGCAATATGTGATGGGCAATGAAATGGAGAGCCACAACACAAGAACAGCACTGCATACAACTAAATAAGTCTCTTGTTTGATGAAATATGTTTTTATTCTCCTCCCTCTCAGGTTTCTGGAGGTCATAAACTAGAGTCGTCCTCTACAGCATGTGTTTTGTAAATGTGGGATAGCAGAAAAAGCCTGAATGTAAACTGCTGACAGACCCACCGATATGGTCTAGGAACTGACCTAGTGAACAACATGATTTCATCCACTGCCGTGGGTAAAGAGAATCGACAGGCCCCGAGGTTGTTTGGGGCAGATCCTGAAACTTGCACCATTGTGTTTAAGAACCACTGGGCTCAGGTGAGACTGTCTTTCTCACAGTGTGAAAAGGTGGAGATCAGCCAACACCACAACATAGCACCACAACACAGCACCACATCCAACACTACAACACAACACAACACCACATCCAACACGACAACACAGCACAACATCCAAACCAAATGACTAATGCTGCTCATACAGGGCACTGCTTTAATGTATATTCCTGTGCTATTGCTTTGGGGTACTAGTGCCGTGCAAACAGTCCTGGAGCATACTTCCCCTTAACTCATCCCACTCTATCTCTGTGACTACCTGTAATCCTACTGGCATGGCTCAGGGGTGCTTCATAGCCCTGCCTATTCTGCCTCCCCACTTCCCCCCCATTAGTGAATGAGCCTTTTGTCACACTGCCCAGGATCTCGGAACTCCATCTGGGAATCCCTGCACATAGCCCCCTCCCTCCACGCCTTCAAAACCTGCCTTAAAACCTTCAACTGTGAATTTCAGCCACCTTTCAACCCCCTCCAGCTGCCTTCCCCCTCCCAGCAGTGTTGTTGGTGTTGGATGGGATGCTGTGTTGTTGATGTTGGATGTGGTGCTGTGTTGTTGGATGTGGTGCCGTGTTGTTGGTGTTGCATGTGGTGCTGTGTTGTGGTGTTGGATGTGGTGCTGGGTTGTTGGTGTTGGATGGGCTGCTGTGTTGTTGGTGTTGGATGTGATGCTGTGTCAGGTGGTGTGTGTTGGCGATGTGGCTCGGAGCCCTTGGTGACAGTAGTGCGGCTTGTTTATCACTGATAGCACCTGGGTAGGAAAGCAAATGAGGAGGAAGATTGTATTTGAAATTGGTTAAAGCTTTCATTCCCTTCCCACCCCATTTACTACCTTCCAATTAGTACGGTACAAAATGTTCAGAGAGCCCATTCTCTTATTAAATTTTCTTTCTGTTGCTGTTATGTTATTTTTTGTTAAAAACTGAGCTTCCTCCTTAAGGTGTGTGGATCTTTTGTACCCTCATCTCCCTCCTCCCCCTCCCCAAAAGGTTGTAGATCTCTCCGATCCAACCTCAGGCAGGAATCGTCACAGGGATCTTTCTGCTCCCAGGGCTATCTCATTGTTGCTGTAACTATCTAACTCTAGAGGGTACAGGGTAACTCCCCCTGTTTCTTACTTCCTCCCTTTTTCCTCCCTTTGTGAAATATTCTGTCTGTGCTCGGCTCCTCTCTACAGTGGCACAGTTTGGGGTGAAGAGAATGTTTGCTGTGAATGTGCCCTGTGTTCGAGTTTCAATATGTTGCAATGTAACATTATCCTGAGAGGAACCACATATTTAGGACTCGGACTCAAATCTGCAGAAAGAATGTGACTTTTCTCTGTCTTCACCGAAAATTATTTGCTCCTTTACACCCAGCTGAGAACCTGGGTGTTTTTAAAAACTTAAATGAGCCCAGTTGTAAGCAGTAGGGATGTGGTGTGACTGTGTGTCATGTGTGAGGTTTGATTCCACACCCAGCTTTGCTCACAAGCTTTAAATGATCACTGCACCTCATGAAGTAGAATTACCGGGGAGCATTTAATGCTTAACTCTGAACAAAGTCTTTTGTTGTAGTTGAAGGGCACAACGTGACTGTACTTCTCCAATTGCTGAATGCAAGTTAGCTGCAATAAGTTTCTCCAAATGGCTTGTTCTTATTTTATCAAATGTTGGATATAGTGGTTCCAGCTCCCCAATAATGTAGTGAATTGGGCATCCAGTGACTTGCCACTAAGCCTGCAGACCAGGAGGCCCTATATAAATGCTAAGTTGTTGTGGTATACCATATGTTCATGGTGCAACCGCGTATACAAGGACCCATGCTGTCCTGCAGCCAGTTATAACAGACCGAATGTGAATAATTATCTCTCCTTTGAAACCCATGGTGGCCTTTCCAGTCCTGCACATTCCTATGTTAACACAGAACGTTGTTTCTGCGCAGGTGCTGAAGATCTTGGAGAAGCATGACCCGCTGAAGAACTCCAGCGCAAAACATGGCCTGATCCCCGCGGACGAAGCTAGCGCCGTCCAGAATTACGTGGAGCACATGATCTTCCTGCTGATCGAGGAGCAGACCCAAGATGCCGCCATGGGCCCCATCCTGGAGTTCGTGGTGACGGAGAACGTCATGGAGAAACTTTTCTTGTGGAGCCTGAGGAGGGAGTTCACGGACGACATGAAGATCGAGCAGCTGAAGATGTACGAGATGCTGGTCACGCAGTCCCACCAGCCTCTGCTGCACCATAAACCAATCCTCAGGCCCCTCATGATGATGCTGAGCGCCTGCTCTGGGACCACAACCTGCGATGTGGAGACGGAACTGGTCCTGCTCCTCAACCAGCTCTGCTCCATCCTGGCCAGGGACACGTCCATCCTTGAGCTGTTTTTCCACACCAGCGAGGACCATGGAGCAGCAAACTTCCTCATCTTCTCCCTGCTGATTCCTTTCATTCACCGAGAGGGAATGGTGGGACAGCAGGCTCGGGACGCACTGCTTTTCATCATGTCCATGTCAGCAGAGACCGACGTGGCCAAACATATCGTGGAACAAACTTACTTCTGTCCGGTGAGTGCTGAACTGTTTTGTTCTCATAATGACAGCTCCTCGCAATGAACAACAGCAACAGCATTAATAATAATAATTACATAAAGGGTTATGGAAAAATCTGGAACTCTCTCCCCCAAAAGGCTATGGATGCTGAGTCAATTGGAATTTTCAAGACTGAGGTCGATAGATGTTTGTTAGTTAAAGGTATTGAGGGATATGGAGAAAAGATGTGTAAATGGAGTTGAGGTACAGATCAACAACAACATCAACAACTTGCATTTATACAGCACCACCCATGCCGGGTGGTGTCCCAGAGCGCTTAACAATGGCGGAGCCCGATGCCGAGCCAGCGGGAGGGGAAGATGACCATAGGCACAATTGAAGAGGAAGGTCTTCAGGCACATCCTGAAAGAGGGGACAAAGGGGGCAAGGCAAGGGATTGAGGGAAGGAGTTCCATAGCTTCAGGGTGTAGTGGCTAAAGGCACGGGCACCGATAGTAGAGCGGAGGATTCGAGGTAGGAGGAGGAGGAGGCCAGAGCCAGCAGAGCTGAGGCAGGAGGTAGCGCTGTGAGTTGAGAGGAGGTTGGAGGGATAGGAGGGTGTTTTCCACGTCGGAACAGGTTTGAGGGACTGAATGGTCTAACCTGTTTCTATATCCCTTAAGACCGGGTTTAAAGGTGGGGATGGAGGTGGTGGGGTGAGGTGGAGGGACTCGGGATTGAATTTCAGAGAGAGGGGGAAAGCAACCCATGGTGCATAGTTCCTCATAGGTTCTTAGGCTTAAAACTTTAGTCTTAAAATTCAAGATTGTGCAAAATTTTGAAAAATGTTTAAATTCTGCATTTAATTGGGAGCTCATTTTCTAACCCAAAAAGAGCTACAGGATTACACACCGGGTTACAAATTTAGACTAACTGGTCTTACAGTCTTAGACGAGGTGGAATTTTGGGCCTCTAATGTATAAAACGGGTCAGTTGTAGTTGAGGCAAATGTAATTCATCCACTCGAGAAATCACAACTTGAAACTGTTTTCTTCACACAGAAGACATAGAATGCTGCACTCCAGGAAGCTATAGAAGGCAGGGAAAGGGCAGGGCACAAGGATTTAAAAGATCGGCCAAGATCAGCTAACAAACTGGTGGAACAGGCTTGATGGGCTCCTCCTTTTCCTGTGTTTCATAAGAAGCCCACAAGACCACTCAATCATGATCAATACTGTGGAAAGGCTTCTTACTGTCGCCCCTTCCCCACCCATTTTACGATGTTTTTTCTTGTAGAAGATACATGATGTATATGTGATTATACATCATGTATTTTCTATGTGATTGTGGGTAGTGTTCTGGGACCCTACCCAGCATGAAGTTGTAGTTGTAGTGATCAGTTTCCAGACACTTCAGTTGAAGGCCTACCTGCCTGAATTTAGGGACATAATAACAGAGCAGCCTATTCAGCCTGTTTTGCCATTTTATTAGCTCTTGGCAGATCTTTTAATCCTTGTGCCTTGCCTTTTAGCCATACCCCTTAATATCTCTATCACCCAAGAATCTGTCTGTCTGATCATGATGGACCATTTAATTCCGTTGGCAAACTGTGTGGTTTTAGCTGCTTAAACTCCAACAATGCCCCAATATACACTCGGTCGTCCCCAAGCCTTGGCTCTCCAGAATTAAGGTGTACATTCCATTTCAAACAGGAAAATTTCCAAGAGAAGGTAGCATACATATGTGGAACTCTCAGTAGTCTGGTATGGAACCTCTTAAACTTGATGATGAGTTTCTCCATCTGTTAAACACCTGGCTCACAAAAAAAAAAAAAATCCCATTCTCCCACTTTTCTCTGTACCCCTTAATAACTTCACCTCCCAAATATCTGTTGATTTTCCTATTAAACATCGCCAATTCTCTCTGCCTGTACTGGTTTCTGGAGCAGCACATTCCATGTTTTGTGATGCAAATAAATCTTTTTTGATCTCACTTCTAACCATCTAATCGTGCATTGTTAGAACTTGTGCATTGTCGGTGAATATTAAAATGTTTCAACATGGCTCCAAGGAAAGGGCCTCAGGTAAACAGCCACGGCCCAGGCATGACAGACATCTCTCAACCTAAGCATGGAGCATTGCTCTCTGTTCTCACAGAATCCCTGGCTCACAGCGCCAGTAAACATAATGATTTGCTAAGAGCTTAAGCCTCTTTCAAAACTGCACCACAGTAGAGTTTAAAAAACCCACTGAATAGCTAGCAGTTCCTCAGAGTTGCAATAAATGACATCAATATTGCAGTAATAACAGATTTAATGCACTGTAACTGTATCAAATGGGTCTCGTATGTGAATTCACAATCGACCTATTTACATGGGTTTATCGAGCAGTTGTGACGTCCATCAGTACCAGTGCTTGCCTTTCTGACCGGCTTTAATCCTAACCGCCGCAGTTAGGATTAATGACCAAGCTTTTATCCATTAAAGAAACTGCATGCTGGTTTACACAGTAATTCTCCTGCATCCAGCAGTGCATGGCAAATATCTACCAATCTCCGGTGACTTACACCTGCCTGACCTCTGCCTTGCGCCCAGTGCTCTCATTCTGTACCTCTACAGGCTACTGAACACTTGAAAATGAGTGCATAAACCAAAGGTATTTCTTAAATTATAGTAATTTCATTGCCAAAGGAGCCCTTTGGGCTCATCAAGTCTGCACTGGCTCTCAGAGCAAGCTGTTCACATAAACTATGTGACCCTCTATGCACTATAGTAAGACTCTGAGTACATTTATGATAAGGGGGTGGGGATTCATGCACTAAAATATGATATTCAGCTATAACAACTCTTCAGTGGTAACTGGTAACCCATCACACATATCTACATGAAGCTGATTGGGAACAAGATTGCATTGGAGTGGAGTTCCTGTATGATATACTTCCAGAAAAAAANCTCTATTTGCTACTCAGAGACGCTGGTTGCAAATCTGCTTCTATATTTAAATTTGTAGGTCGCACTTACATTTCAAACTAAATTTTATTCTGAATTGGGTCAAAGCAAGAAACAGTCGGAACTGCCTTGGTGGCAATGGAATCTGATACCTTATATTGCCAAACAAGGCAAGGCTAGAGAGGGTTAAAATAATTGGAGAACGTAATGACGACAGCAGTTTATTGTTACTTTACTTTCTGACCTTCAGTGATCTCTGAACACGAACACTGACATTCCTTTGTCCATCCACCCCGCCTGATACTGTCCCATTCAGGAAGCATACCAGTTTTTCATTGTAAGAGCAAAGTGCACTACTTTACATTATGACACTTTAAACTCCATCTGACATATTTCAGCCCACTCTTAGCCTATCTATATCCTGATGCAACTTTTTGCTTCCCTCCTCATCACGTTTTGCCTCCTTTTCCAGCAGACTTTCCTTTTCGACTGCGCCTATGGTCACCTTCCCCCTCCCTCTGGCTCGACCTTGGGCTCCACCATTGTTAAGTGCTCTGAGATGTTGCCCGGCTTGGAGGACGCTATATAAGTGCAAGTTGTTGTAGCTTAATATCATTTGTGAACTTGTATATACAGCTGTCTCTACTTTGATCCAGGTTATTACATATACTCTGTATGAGTGTGTGTGTGTAGATATATATATATATGTGTGTGTATATGTCTATATATAAATATATATATATATATATATATATTGTGGCCTCAGCACAGATTCTTGGGGAACCCACTTGTCACTGCCAATCAGAGAATGTGTAATTTACCCCAACTGTCTGCTTCCTGCCTCCAAACCAATTTCCTGTCCATATCAGATTGCTTTTTCAATTCCATGTGCCATGATTTTATAATAATAACAATGATAATCATTGCATTTGGTAGAGTGTGATCATGTAACTGAGACATCTCAAAGTGCTTCACAGGATTTACGGTGAAATGGAGTGACTGTGTATTTATAGACAAATGCATCAACACAATTATGCACAGCAATGTCCCACAAACAGCCATGAAATGAATGACCAATTTATTTTGGGGGATTGTTGGCCAGGACACTGGAAGAAACTCCATTCTCTTTTTAAATAGCGCCACAGGGTCTTTAACGGGACGTCAGTTTAACATCTCATCCAAACGATGGCACCTCCGACAATGCAACCCCCATCCCCCCAAGTGCTGCATTGTAGTGTCAGCTTAGGCTCACCAAGATCCACCCCATTTGATTTTCAAAGTATTCCCTCCCCTCCCTTCCCCACAGGAAGACGTCACAGGTGTGGTTCAGATTGGAAACTGAGGATCGTGGAATGAACCTCTCACTGTGACCTTCCCAATAACAAATTGCATTTATACAGCTCCCCTCACACAGGATAGCGTTCCTGAGCGCTTACATTTTTCATGTCTTTAAATCCTTTAAGATCCAACGGGATTTCAAAGACATTCACCTACAAATACAGAGTCATTACACTCTACAGCAAAGTCCCAAGCTATGCTCAAAAGCTCTGTCATGATCTAATAAACTAGTGGAACTGGCTGTATGGGCTGAATGGCCTCCTCCTCCTACTCCTGTGTTCAAATGAACTAATGATACTTGATCTCTGTTCCCTCACAGGGGAACTTCAATGGTATTTTTTTTTAATTTCAGTTTGTCAGATGTTTCTTTCTGTGTTGTGATCATATTGTTATCTGACTGCCAGGTGCTCGCAACTGGACTGAGCGGCCTCTACTCCTCACTGCCGACCAAACTGGATGTGAAGTCTGAGGAGTGGCATTATCTGCAGCGGGAGGACTGGATCCAGGTTCCAGCTCTTGTGCAGTTTATGAACTCGCTGGAGTTCTGCAACGCAGTAATACAGGTATGCGCAGCATCATTCACGTGCACATATACACTCAGCCATCTGTGTACGCTCAGCAATTGTGTATTGTGCAAAAATACACTCAGCTTTTCAAAAAGAATAGTGATTTTTTTTTTCTCTCCCTCTAAAGACTATATCAGAACAAGATCTCATGTAGTGAACTTCCTGTTCAAGTATTATTCCATTGGGTTGAAAGAACCACAGCCAGACTAAGATGCGAGTCTCTAACAGCTATGTGGATCAGCGAAATGAGTTGACGCAACTGACCACATAAACTTGCCCATAACTCAACGTTAACTGCCACTAAATTACCGCCTTCATTCATTGATGGCTGATTTGGGAAATACAATGTCAAAAGGGCAATGGAAATTCTTCTTCTGAGGTTTGAGAATAGCCACATTGGGTTATTTTCTGCTGGTCAGTAAATTTGCTGTCCTTGGGAGCTTGTGCTTACAATGCGTTTTTCTTTTCTCCATTATAAACTCACGCCGACAAGCCTGGTAAATTTATATTGTCGGCTGGTAATTTTACTGAACGGAGAAAATTCTGTCAAAGCAAAGTAGAGAGCATTACATTGTGCTGGGTTCTGCTTTTCCTGATTGGGAAATGCTAGATGCCGGAACTGATTGAGTATAAAAAGTATGATAATGTTTAGTTCCCCAGCATTCGCACCATTCCCTTGTGGAACATAAAATGGTTTTGTTAAACTATGTGCAGTTTTAGCATCCTCCAATACTTTAGTTCATAAAATATCTGCTTGGTATCATACTGAGCCAATCAGACCAGTGGCCTGAAAATCCACCTACTCTTGGTTCTTTAAGACTCTTTTGTCTTAAAATTTAAGATTGTGCAAATTGTGTGCATTTTTAAATTCATTCTTAATTTGATCACTGGTTATTTTTAAGAATTACTGAAAATTGGCTGCCAAATGGGACTGAATTTTTGCACAGCTCTGAGTGGTCTTAAATTTCAAGTCAATAGGTCCCTTTCCCAGCGTCCACACTGACACGTTCCAGAAGGGGGCGCAGGATAGTGATCAGGTACTGGAACTCTGACTGTTTTCCCCTCCCAAACAAGGGTTAGCATTCGCCCACAAATACTCAGGCACTCAACTTCACAGTAAATCCTGTCAACACTTTGGGACGCCCCCCCGACGTGAAAAGTGTTATACCAAATGCAAAAAATTATTACAACATTATTATAATATTATTATGAGTTGGAGTAAGTGTAGCAAGACTGAGCCTTGTCTGAGTTTGGCTAATTCAATGTAAAAGACCCGAACACCAAGTTTTTAACCTTGTGCAGGTTCAATGGAACCATCTTAAGATATCGGCATTGATATTGGTAGTGATATATGCCTGTCACTTTCCAGCGACATGATTGTGCCTGAATTACTGCAGTGATTATGTACACGGTGAAATGGAACTAGCCATTGTGATTTAAACTTCCTAAAGCTGCGTACAAGTGAAATGGGATCTTACTAACAAAGAGGTCTAATACACAAACTAAATCCTCTCAAATTGCTGTGTAAAAGACAGTTTGGAGTTCAGTGCTGTGGGTTTGGCCCAATTAAGTTCAGGCTTTCTAGGTATAATAATAATCCTTGCCTTATCACATCATTGAGTTGCCTCAAAGTGCTTCAAAGGACTTACTGTAAAGTGTAGTGACTGTTGTAGTAGGGGAACTTTGCAACCAAAGTGCACACAGCAATGTCCCACAAACAGCCACAAGGATGAGTTTGAGACACAGCAGCCTCTGATATTAGGAGCCTGGTTTCTTACCCTGGTTTCTCACACTTGATATGCCACCATCTTTTTTTAAAAAAAAGAAACAAGTTTTTAACCGAGATTTAAATTCTCAGATGCCACAGCGGAATTTTAAACTTTCAAAATTAGCTTTTGTGATTTTTTTTAAGGCAACTATTTGGCAAAGAGGGTCTTTTTCTACATTGGCAGCCCGAAGCTGTTCCCATCCCAGAAGAGGATTAGAGACACTGATCTCATTCTGGAGCCTAATTTATGATGATGATGATAATAGTAACAATAATAATGATAATATAATCCTTACATTTGGTATAGTGCCTTTCACACTGGGACGAGAACACAAAGTGTTTCACAGGATATACTGTAACTTGCAGTGACTATGCGTTTATGTGGGTGAACATGATTACGGTCATAAGAGAGGTGAAAAGCCGTCATTTGAGTCTCCTGGGAACGCCTGAGTGGTCAGATTAGAGTTGACAATGTTCTAGAGATGATAAAGTGCCAAAAAAAGGCTTGCCAGGGAGCGAAGAGCCATTTCCCCACAGCAATCCATTCAGTTATCTCCCTACAGCTAGTCACTTTGCCATCCAGTCTTTTCCGCCACGTTTTTCTAGCTTTTGTGAGTCACTTCACTTCCATCCAACTGAGAAGAACCAGGTTAGCACTTCCAATCACTGTGCATATTGCAAACTGAGCCAATTGATGTACGTTCAGTCATCTTATGTCTAAGTCTTCTTCAGGTGGCTCATCCCATGATCCGCAATCAGCTTGTGAGCTACATCTACAATGGATTCCTTGTGCCTGTCATGGCTCCTGCACTTCATAAGGTCAGTGGGTTGTTTACTGCAGGACTTTAAGTCACATTCAGAACCCGTAAAATATTCTGGATGATGAACCATTCAATGAGATCTATAAATGCAACCTTTCTTTTGGAGTTTGCACCTTGGAGTGTTCATAGATAGTTAAACCCATTTTCAGCACAAGATATGAATGATAATGCGTCCAACTCCCTGCTTAACAATGCAGTGGCTTCTGTACCCTGCTAGACATTATGGGGAGCTGTCTGTCCCTTGAAGAGGCATTAATTGTATATTGGAGCAGGCAATCGTCAGCATACAATGAAGTGACACCAAAGTAGTAATAATCTGCACATTTGTTATGGTGCCTTATCACGTCAATACCGCTCAAAGAACTTCAGAGTTTTATCTGTAAGGCAAGGACTGTATTGTTAGCTGAACATGACAGCCAATTTGCACATAGCACAAATAGCCAAAATGAAATCAAATCTGGAGGATTGTTGGCATCACACTTGGAGAACTTTTCTTTTTGATCCCATAACATAAGATTGTTAATGTCCACCTAAACAGGCAGATGCAACTTTGGTTGAAACGTCTCATCCAAAGGACAGCTCTTCCAGCACTGCACCTGATGAGCTCATAGAAAATTCAGTACAGGGAGGTTATTTGATCTACATGTTTTACTTAGATATCAGTGCGGAACAATAGTTGTCAAATAATAATCTTTCCTCCTCCTCTATAATCCCACATCACCCATCTCCAAAGGAGGAATATTTAGGTTATGCAGATCTGATTACTTGACAAAAGAAATATCAGCCTAACTCTATTGGTAGCAGTCTCACCTCTGAGACAGAGGTCATGGGTTTGAACAACAACAACAAATTACATTTGTATAACACCTTTCACGTTGACATGACATCTCAAGGTGACATCATGTCATTGAGAAGCCTCAAAGCACTTCACCTAATATATTGTAATGTGGATTGACTGTATTTTTGTGGGCGAAACCCAGCAGGAAATTATGCACAGCAATGTCCTCCAAACAGTCCTGGATTGAGTGACCCAATTTTTTTTGGAGGGATTATTACCTCCAGAAAGCAATCCGCCAATCAACTAACAACCAGGTTCCTACTTACTGTGTGTGGAGTAAGGACACTTACGCACCACCCGGGAATTGAACCTGGGTACTCTCAGTAAGTAAGTAGTAAGCATGCTAACCACTACACTACTTGAACCTTATGTTGGGATTTGGGCTCAAAGCCAAACTGACACTCGTATTTTTTGATTGAATGAAAACATGCAAAAATAAAGAAAATCTGTGTGCGCAGAGAGGAAGGATCAGAAGTAATAACATTATTAATATTTAGATTTTCAGATATTTTCAGATAATGCATATATAAAGCATTTCTGTCAGTGGAGCTTTGGATTGCTCAGTAACTCTCTATGAGTGGATGTAATCTTTACATTGAATGATATAGAACAATACTGCAAGGAAACAGGCCATTCAACTTGTCTGTATTGGTGTTCATACTCCACATGAGCCTCCACCCTTCTCTATTCCTTTTACTGATAATAATAATCTTTACATTTGTTATGGCACCTTTCATGTCAGAAGAACATCTCAGAGTGCTTCACAAGATTTATTGTAATATGTAATGACTATGTAATTTGTCTATTACCCCTCTATTTCCTTCTACCTCAAGTCAACATCAATTTCCTTTCAAATATGTTGATCGTGAAGAGCATTTTAAATGAGGTGATATTTTCAAGGTTATTCTGAGGACACTGTGCATTGGATTTTCCTTGCGCAAAGCATATTGGTCACTGAGTCCTTTTGTATCACTTGCAGATTGGAATTGATGGACCATAATTTCCTCAGATGTCTAAATGATAATACCTTGTTAAGAGCTACAGTACTAAATCGTGGGTTTGTGGCACTCAGGCACTCACACTGAGGCAAGGGGTTAGGCTGCCCTTCAGAGGAATGCTGCAGTTACTGCACTTTCATCTCCCGGCTGTCGACGTAACTTTCCTGTTTGTTTCAGATGACGGTGGAAGAAGTCATGACTACAACCGCGTACTTAGATCTGTTCCTACGCACTATATCAGAGCCGGCACTGCTGCAGACATTCCTCAGCTTCATCCTGCTACACGAGCATGAAAATGTCCAGCTCCTTGACACCCTCGTCTGCCGCATTAATACTCCATTTCGGGTGAGAATCTTACTACTTCAACCCACAATCCTCAATCCGCGGCTGTTTCTGGGACACTGCTGTGCGCAATTGGCTGCTGCGTTTTTCCCACAAAATATACAGTCAATTCACTTTACAATATATTCTGTGAAGTGCTTTGAGATGTCTCAAAGACGTCTTGAAGACGTGATGAGGCGCTATATTAAATGCAAGGATTATTATTATTGCTTCAACTTGTGTTGTGTTGTCTCTCACTGCAACTATTTGCCCTGTTACAATACAGTTGGTTGACGAGAACCTGCTTATACTGCAAAACAAAAACAAACCTTTCGGCCCATCAGATCTATGTTGGTGTTTTTTACCACACGAGCCACCTAATCAGATCCTGCTCCCCTCCTCAATCCCGTATTCTTTGATATTGCTGTTTTGCAAGCATCTATCTGATTCCCTTTTAAGAGTAATTTGTGGACTTCTAGAAATAAATTGCATAAAAAAACTTGTGCCTTGCACAAAACCCTGCACCAACTCGAATGCAAATGAGTGATTGAGGGAAAACTAAAATTCCCCATTTGTTCCATTAATGTAGTGCAGTACTGGAAAGTACCTAGTTTCTGCTGTCAGCTGATAGCAGCTGGGGGAGATTGTGAATGTTACAGTTAGCTTCTGTGTGTCCAGGCTGGGAATATGTAGGAGAGCGTAAATCCACTGGAATTCCTATTACTGAACTCCATACAGTAATTCCTGCTGGGAAATACGTGTGGGTGACCGTCCGACCAGACTTGTCTGATACATTCTTCGCCGGTCTCCCTAATTCCATTATCCATAAGTTCCTGACGATTGAAACCTCTGCTGCCCATTTCCTCACTCGCACCAAACTCTGCAGGCTCCAACAAACCAGTCCATACCAGGCTCCACTGTCTCCTAACAGATCAATTTCAGGGACCTTGCCCTCACCTGCAAATCCCTCCACACCCTAACAACTCCCTATCTCTCTGATCATCTTCTATCCCTCTGTTCATCTCACACCCTCTTGTTGGCCAGCTCAAGCCTGCTGCATATCCTCCTCCTCCATCAGTGACCAAGCCTCCAGTCACTATGCCATTAACCGCTGAACCCCTGGTTTGGATGCACTGATGTGAATGTGCATCTGTGACAGCATTGGTGTGGCTCCTCTCCCTCTGGTCCGCTGGCTCCAGCCTCCTGTTTGTCCCTTGTCCCCGCCACTCCACCATCGATGGCCTTGCCTTCAGCTACTACGTAGCAAAACTCTGGAATTCTCTCCCTTAATCCCTCTGCCTTTCCCCCTCCCTCCGCACTTTGAAATCCCACCTAAAGACCTTCCTCGTTGATCGCGGTTACGGTCAACTCCCCCCTTCCTCTCCCTCTGGCTCGGGGTCAGACTCTGCCACTGTCAAGCACTCCAGGACCCTAGCCTGCGTGAAGGGCGCTATATAAATGCAAATAGTTGTTGTTATGGTATAAAATTCACAAACTTAACCCTCACACTGGTGCAACCAATTCTCTGAATTGAAAGTCACTTATCTGGGTTATTCGGAGTGTAACTGCGCTGTCTGTCTGTGAAGAGATTGGGATGGCAATAAAATAAATTTGTCCCGAGGTAATGATCATCTGCATTTACTACATGTGCGTGCGTTCAATGTTATCACTGTAGATGTTACTCTCATGTGCCCCAGAAACCATTACCTTCTTGTTTAGTGGGTGTTGGTCCGTACAGGATCCACTGAACTCTAGTTTAGAGAAGTCTCGAGTACTTCCGCTGATCACAAATTGATTGTTTTTTAATTCCTCTGACAGTTGTGTGTTGTATCTTTGGCCCTGTTCAGAACTCTAATTGGCCTGCACTGTGAGGATGTAATGCTGCAGCTGATACTGAGGTAAGGATGAGGAGTGTTGATCATGTTGTTGAGTAATGAAACAGTTGTGGCTTTCCTGAATGATTTTGCAAGATACATTGATACACGTAGATGGGAAAGAGTGCTGAAAGGTCCAGAGACCCTTCAAGTTCACTCCCGGGAGAATCTGCCTCCATCTTCCCATTCCCCACTCCCACAATATAGTACACCTACACATCTCTCCTGGCGCTGACATATTCTGACGAAATGAACCATTGTATTTCTTCAAGACATAATTTCCTTGCTTCACTTTTTGTGGGCAAAACTTTCCATCACAAATTTTCTTTCTGCGTCTGTTTTCTGCTCTTATTTTCGTGTTGGTATTTTCAAGCGGTTTCTTAAACAAGCCCAGAAACCCGAGGGGAAATAGCTTTCATCTTTGGCAATGACGTAGCTTCTTTGCTTAGGTGAGTGAGATTGCAAAAGGTAGAAAGGCTAAAACAAATTAGGAGCAAAGAAGAGGAGAGAGAGTTGAACCAGCTTATGTACAAGCACTGCATTTTCCCCAGGTTTCAGAGCTACTTCACTGCAGCCTCTCTCACGTCAACTAATTCTAGGGCTTGGCTGTTCCAGGTACCTAATACCGTGCAATCATATGATGCTGAGCCAGAGGAGCGCAGTTAAGGAAAGGGACTGCTACTCTGTGTCTGCTGCCAAGCTGCTGGCCTTGACTCCAACCTGCTGTGATCCTGGCATATGTCTGGCCCAGAGAGGACAGGAGGACCAATACCAGCTGAGGTCAAAACTCCTGAATCCATCGCACACTGACACTGCAGGTATGATTCTTAAACAATAATGGTAATAATCCTTACATCTGCAGTGACTGACACAGACCATGTACCATACAAGAGAAGTCTTTAAACTGAACTCGATTGTGTGTGTGTGTGTTTGGCCGGGGAGGGGGGAGGGGGTTGTTGCATGTTCTGGCGTTCCCCTGAAAATATTCCAGGTGCTTAGATCAGGTGGAAGTACTGTTATATGAAAATTGGAGATCTGTAAAAGAGATTATTATAATAAATGGTGAAGGAGGGTGGTGATGTTTGCTGAAAAGGGTAGGTCACTCTCTCATTTTTAACTTGAAAGTGGCTTGCAAAATACAAATGTGGGTTGTATCAAATGGAATGAGGGATATCAAACTGCATACTATTACATGACTATAGAAGGACCGGGAGCAAGAACGCTGGCTGGTTTCTCCCTCCCTGTCCCAAGAAACCTGGTACCAATTTAACGTCCCCAGTCAGCTCCAGCTGAGACCAGGAGATTCAGGAAGGACTGGAATTGGAATTCGTGAGCTCCTGTTCCATAAGCTGCAGCTATCTCACTACACCCTCGGGGTTGCCCTGTTTACCTTGATTTTTATTCATCAGATCTTTGCTACACTTTAGAAGGGGTGTATTTCTTACGATAGGGGTCCACCGTGAGGATAGACAAGAACAACTTGGATTTATATAGTGCCCTCCACACCGGACAGCATCTCAGAGCGTTCACAGTAACAGATCCCAGGGCCGAGCCAGGGGGAGGGGAAGGAAGGTGATCAAAGGCGCGGTTGAAAAGAAAGGTCTTCAGCCAAGACCTGAAAATAGGAAGCGAGGGAGCGAGGCGAAGGGAGTGAGGAAGGGAGTTCCAGAGCCTCGGGGCTTAGTGGCTGAAGGCACGGCCGCCGATGGTAGAGCGGAGGATTCGGGGGACAAGGAGGAGGCCAGACCCGGTGGAGCAAAGGCAACGGGCACTGTTTTGAGGAGAGAGGAGGTCAGAGAGGTAGGGGGTGCGGAGGAGTGGAGGGATTTGAAGACAAGGGTGAGGATCAAGTCCTGGATGAGAGCTAACTTTCTACAGTTGAATGTCAACAAGACCGAGGTTCTCCTGATTGGCTCCCGTCAGCGCCTCCACACCTCAGGCACTGACAGCATCACCATCCAAGAATGCACACTCCACCTTACTCAGCCAGTCCAGAACCTTGGTGTCTTGTTTGACCCTCAACTATCCTTTCTACCATCCGTGCCATGAACCGCACTGCCTTCTCCCACCTCTGCAACATCGCCCGGCTCTCACACCGCAGGCCGCCGATACCCTCATACGCACATTCATAACATCCAGGTTCGACTGCACAAACTCCTTGTTTGTTGGCTTCCCCAACTCCTCCCTCCATAGGCTGCAGATCATCCAGAACTCTGCAGCCTGTGTACTCTCCCGCACCAGGCTCCAACCTCTTCCTTCCCTCCGCTCAGCGGGCTCCAGCCTGCTTCACGACCACCACCTCGCCCGCACGCCCCACTATTGGCAGGCGAGCCTTCAACTACTCTGCCCTCACCCTCTGGAACTCATCACGCAATCCCTCCAGCTCGCCCCCTCCTTTGCCTCCTTTAAAACCTGTCTCAAGACCCGCCTCAAGAACCTCTCCTTCGACCCTGCCTTCGGTCACCCTCCTTCCCCGCCTCCACCCTCCCCGAGCCCAATACCCAGCTCGAGTCCGAAACATTGATTGTCCAGTGCCTTGGGACGTCCTCCCAAAGTGAAAGGCGCTATACAAATATAATCTTCTTGTTGTTGATGTTATTGTATTGCCAATCACTGTCCTGCAGCTGTTTGCAAGGGGGCATGAGAGAGACACACAAGTTGTTGCCAGTTTGTTTCACTTGTTTTGCTGTTCTCCCTGTGGGCACAACTCAGTGCCACTGAATGTTTAGAATTCCAGTGGTTTGAAAGTATTGCTATAATTTTGCAACGGATTTGGGATTGTGTCAAAACTTCTGAAGACAAACTACACAATAGGCGTCCAAAGTGCGTGTCTTTTTCTCAATGGGAAAACTTGGTAAGGAATCTGAGTTGTGCAAGTGGAGTCTCATTCCAAAATACCAGCTCCCGCGGGACCTCAGCTTGGACACTATCTACCTCCAGAGCAGAGATCCTGTGGGTCGACGAGAATCCCTTCTGAGGAATGTCGTTCCAGAAATACCGCAGCTTAGATGATTACCACATGATGATTCAACATAAAGGACAGAGATTGAGAAATACTACTCTGGAGCATCACCTAATGGTCAGCACAAGAATAGAAGAACACTGAGAGCAGGTGCTCATCACCGTGGGCAAAGGAACGTGTGTGGCCCTGCGAGACCCAACTGAAGGAAGAGGGAATCAAATCTGTAACGTTTTCTTGTGAAACGAGAATAATGTTGCATTTGGTAGAATAAGATGCAAACTGTGCTCTTTATTATTGACGTGAAACCTTTTATATGTCAGCCTGACGCAGTGTTAGTAGCACTCTCGCCTTTGAGTCAGAAGGTTGTGGGTTCAAGCCCCACGTCAGGATTTGGAATCACATTGTCTAAGCTGACACTCCAATGCAGTCCTGGGGTGGGGGGGTTGCGTTGTCGGAGGTGAGACGTCCTTCTGTTGAGTCCCATCTTTAATATCCTTTTCAGGTACATGTTTAAAATCCCACGGCACTATTTGAAAGAGAAGGGAGTTTCTCCCAGTATCTTGGCCAACAATCCCCCGAATTAAATTGATCACTCACTCCATGGCTGCCTGTGAGAAAAGTCGTGCACAACCTGTTATTGCAACCTGTTACCGCGTCTCGCTCACAAAATACACAGTCAATCCACTTTATAGGGCAAAAACAGAGGTCGCGGGGAACACTCAGCAGGTCAGGCAGCATCGATGGAGAATGGAAAGTGAGTCAACATTTCAGGTCCACGACCCTTTGTCAGAACTGGGGCATGTTGGGAGGGAGAGACACACCTTTTCTCTCTCTGGTCTGCCTATTTTGTTGCAATTTCTCACCCCCACTCACCTGCCCCCCCACCCCATTTGTTTTGCATTATTAACTCTTTAACCCATCATCCCCTGTCCTCTATCCTATTTTCTCCTTTATCTTCCTTGCTCTGCCTCCCCCCTCTCTGTTAGCCCTAAAATGATGTGATAATATATCAAATGCAAAGATTGTTATTGATTATTATTACTCACCTCAGGCTGCGAGAAACAACTTGTCTGCGCAGAAAACACAGCGAACCAGCATGAAGACAGAAAACCATTGGACATCAGTTACCTGCAGTACTTGTGGGAGGCCCGGGTCAATATTACCACTTGTTTAAAGAGCTGCAGAGGCTGGTCTGCACCTTATGATGGTGAAAATCCAGAGGCTGAGACCACTGTCCCAGCGCTGCCAGTGGACACCAGCAAACCAGTCGCTCAAGTCCCCGGCAGACCCCAGCACAAAGCAGGGTCCAGGAGGCACAGACTTAAGATCAAGTCTCCGATGCAGCTGGACCTGGAATGGGACAACAGCTATGACACCGGAATGTCTCCAGGCTCGGATGATGACCTCCTGCAGCCTTATCTGCTCCAGGTGCCTGGGAGTGACGTACAATCTACAGAGCCACCAAGGCACATACAGGAGATGAGGAAAAATGCCATCTTGCTGGTTAAAGGGTCCTACATCGAGGAGTCGGACTTCCAGGATGACATCATGGTTTACAGGCTCTGTGCTGATAAAGATGCTCAGGACGGCGTTGAGTCGAATCCTCAAAAAGTCAAACCTTTATCTCCTGCGAGCGGCACGGGTCAGAAGGTGCCTGTTACGAATGGGCCCGTCAACAGGACGGTGCAGTGTGCCTCGGGCAGCACTGCCTCAGGGGAGCGTCTCACAGCGAGTGGCTGCTCTGAACAGGACGCAAAGACAGAGCAGTCAGGACTGAGAGAACAGAAACTGGAGGAAATGCAGCAACGGTCCGTACCCAGTGTGAACCAGCGAATCCTGAGCACGGGCGGCGACGATTTCCTCGCCCAGTTTCAGGATCTCCTCACAAAACCCAGCGCTAATCCCGGCGACACATTGATGATGAAGCTGACCTCATCAGATACCAACATTCCTATGGAAGAAGATGATGACTTTAGGAGCTTCTCCTTGGAGTCCCCATATCCAGAAAACGTTCCTTCTCCATTCGGCACTAAAGTCCACCTGATCTCCTCTGGAAATCCTGCTCGAGTCCACATAGGCCCATTTACAGGTATGTTGTCTCTTGGTTAGGAGAGAGTATTTCACACATTCAGTAGTTAGGATATGGAATGCCCTACCTGGAGTGGTAAGTGAGGCATAATCCATATTGGCCTTCAAGAGGGAACTAGATAAATACCTTAAAAAGAGATCACTTATGGGGACATGGGGAAAGGGCAGGTATAAGTGGGACTGAAAGGATTACTCTTGCGGGAGCTGGCAGAGACACTGTGGACCGAATGGTCTTTTTCTGTGCCTTAAATTTCTCTGGTTCAGCACTCGTCAAAGCCATGTTCATGCAGCAGGGTAAATGGTGAGTGTCTCCGACGTGCTGGTTTTGTCCCCTTGGATTCAGGTAGCAAGAGATGGTGGTCAAAATGGCTGATGTACAAACATATTATGGTGTTGTACACCATGGTTGTGCTATTTTGCTGTGTTGCGCTACATGCCTGCACTGCTCTGGGTGGCTGCCAGGCACCTGCCTTGCACTGGACGCCTACCTACAGCAAGGCAACTCTTGCCATATCCTTGTGAGCTGTTTGTGTGACATTGCCAGAGAACTGCTCATTGTTTCAGCCAGAGGGGTCTGCTACAAAAGTAAATTCCAGAAAGAGGAAGATGGGAAAATAATGATTATTTAAAAGGGGGGGAAAGAAAATGTCTCTGACGTCAAAATGCCTAGTGGCGCTCACTGTGTAGATCTGTGCATGTAGAATTAGCGTGAGCGAGGTGCTGGTGGGTGGATAGGGCACTGTAGTCAGCGTGAGTCACTACCTTTTGAAGAACTGGGAATCAGAAGGATATTTCAGAGAGCTGAACTCCTACTTGTTATGCTCTGTGGTCATATCTCAGCCGGGCAAAGCTATCTTGTGTTAACATGCTGTTCACATGGTGGACATTAGATGGCGCTCAATGACCCATTCCGTACTGATGTGGTAGGACTGATGTTTACAAAATTCAACCGTGAATTTTTGGCTCTCTGGTGCGTTATTATGACTAAGAACAGACAATCCTGTAGCCCTACACGCACTCTCGTTCCAACACTGAATAAAATACACAGCTGTTAATGTATCTCAATACTTCAAAGGTCTACAGTTGTGGCTCTACACACACACACATACATTCTACATTGATCTTTTAAGTGGGGTCTCCGTGGGTGACATGCCTGGCAATGGAATGACGGAATCGAGCCAACCCTCTGTGGCGGTATCGGTTCCCGAGCCAGATGGGTCCAGATTTCCCTTTTATTTCTTCTTTCTGCTCTGGATTTCCCCTTTTTTCCCTGTTTTCCTCTGGATTTCCCTTTTTTCCCTCCTCCTCTGGATTTTCCCTGTGTTCCGCTTTCTCCTCTGTATTTTCCCTGTTTTCCTTAGGATTTCCCTTCTTTCCCATGTTCTATGACTACTCTAACTCCCTGCTCACTGGACTCTTCCCTCCACGAACTGCAGATTACTCAGAACTCGTGTCCTCTCCCGCACCAAGCTCCAGAAGTTGATCACCTCCATCCTCGCCCAGTTCCACTGGCTCCCCATCCCCCCGAAGATCGAGTTTAAGATCCTCATCCTCACTTTGAAATCCATCCACGGTCTTGCCCACCCTTCTGTGACCTTTGAGCACCTTACCAACCCTACCTCGGCAGGCACTGATAGGAGATTCAGCCTTTCTGCACCCACTCTCTGGAACACCATCCCTGAGTCCCTTAACCTCACCCTTTCCCTCACCTCCTTCACGGACCATTTCAAGACCTTCCTCTTTGATTGCACCTTCAGTCATCTTCCCATTCCAAGCCTTGGCCCCTCACCCTCACAAATCCAATCCCCAGCTCAGGTTCAAATTCTCGACTGTTTGGCACTTTGGGACCTGCTCCTGAATGAAAGGCTCTATATAATTTTTTAAAACATATTTTTATTGTTTCAGAGTATTTAGTACTGTAGAATTAGTAGATCTAAAGTGGGTGAGAGGAATTATTTAAATTCTCTTTGAGTATTTAACCCAATGTACAAACGCCAACAAAGTCTTCTTTTGTAATAATATCACCAAAATGTGATTATCTAACCTAATCTAATTTGAAATGAATGCAAAACAATTACATTAGGGTAGATCACTCCAATGGGGAATTAACACAGCAGAGGCAGCATGGGCCAACAGTCCTCCTTCTATTCTATAATTAAAACTGTATTTTGACAAATCAGGGTGGTGATCACATAACTCTTCGCAGTATTATCTTCAAGTTATTTGGATGAATGGAAACACAAGTTGTGGCTCTACATCTATCTATCTATCTGCAAAAATGCCTTTATTTTCAATGAAATCAAATAGTTTCCAAACCATCGCTCTTATTTTTCATCAAACTACACAGGTTCACAAACCTGTCTTTCCATGCAGTAAATAGACTCCATTCTTCATAGACAACGTGCCTATTAAACTCTCGCGCAGGTTTTTTTTTAGACCAGCAGCTGTTTCTGGAGAAAAACTGTTAAGTTCACTGTTTTGGTCCTTACTCAGACCACACCTGAGACAACTAAGTGAGTTGTAGCACTAGCTTGCAAAAGATAGTGGTTTATGCTTATGACTAGTTGGTCGGGTCAGGGTTGTTAAGTGCAGAGTGGTTATATTGGCATAGCAGCAGACGTCTTGAATGAATGTATCCCAGTTGATGAGGAAAATATTTGATATACAAGTTTTGAAAGTTGACATAGAGTTGCCATTAGATACAATGAACAATTTCTTGCCCGCTCTTAACATGTTTCTAGGACTTTGATTCAGAGATCTATCAACCTAGCCCTATAGGAGTCGAGCAGTATTTCCTTTGTAGATGACAGAGCAAAAATCTTGAGGTTCAGACTTTTCTTTCTAGTCCCACAAATTACCTGGCACTGAATGCTTTATTTAAAAAAAATCTACTTTTCATTGATCACTTTTTTTACGAAGATGAAATACTGCGATCCTTTCTGAAAACTAAGTTCCACTACTTCATTTTGTTTGCAATTCAAATGAATACAGTAAATCAATGTCATCATACTTTTTGGGAGCTCTCCAAAAAGTAGATCAAATGTGGTGCTTTTTATGGCACATTTATATGAGCCAATCCTCCACAGTGGCATTTCATCGTTTGTCTGTTAAAGAGGGGGCCATAATCAATACATTTCTGTACCATACTGCATATTAAAGAGTCCAATAAAGGAATTTACTATATCTAGTGCTGGCAGTCAGCATGTTAAAGGCACCAGAAGCTAGAAATGCTGTTTATTTTCATTTGACTCATTTGACCTTTCTTTTTTCAGGACCATTTATCAGCGTTTTATTGTCGAAGTTGGAGAGGATGCCAGAAAACGAGTTGCATGTAAATTTGTTGCTGACAGGGATTGTTGCTCAGTTGGCTTGCTACCCACAGCCTCTCCTCCGGTCTTTCTTGCTCAACACCAACATGGTCTTTCAGCCCAGCGTACGCTCACTCTATCAGGTACATACCTCCAACAGCAAAGGAGGATGCAGAATTCAAGTAAATTGTGGAAATTTAAGAAACGTTTAAAAAAAACCCTCAGCATTTAACCTTAACTTATTTGTAACTATTTCCTTTACAATCCCAAATTTAAGATAATCATCAAATCTGTGTCTACTGGTTGGTGAGCCATTAAGTGAGGGAGATGAATTTAAGATCAGTATCAGTATGAACAATAAAAACAAATTACATTTGTACAGCGCTTTTCACGTCAGGAGGACGTCCCAAGGTGTTGGACAGGCAGGGATCCGCACACGAGCTGGTGGTATGGGATTAAGAGGGGTGGAGGCGAGGGGGTTAGGGATAGGAGGGTGACCGAAAGCACGGTCGAAGAAAACAAAATGCTATAAAATTCTTTGATTCATGCACTGTGAAACAAATCCTCCTCATTGGTTTCAAACACAGGGATGAAGACTGCCATTGAAAGGAATCCCATTCTTTGTGTCCTCTCTCTTTCCCATTTCCCCCCAGAAGTGATACTTAATGCATCACTGAAATACTGTACACTGTCCAGCGCCTTGGGACATCCTCCCGACGTGAAAGGCGCTAAAGAAATGTAATCATGTTGTTGTGTTATTGCTTAGTCCACGAGCATTGGCAACTCTGTGGCAACTTACCAACAACAACAACTTGCATTTATATAGCATTCTCCACGCCACATGGCATCCCAGAGTGTTTAACAATGATGATGCTTGATGCCGATCCAGGGAGAGGGGAAGTTGACCATAGGCACTGTCAAAGAGGAAGGTCTTCAGGCCAACCTGAAAATAGGAAAAGAGGGGGCAAGGTGGAGGAACTGAAGGAGGGAGTTCCATAGCTTTGTGGTGTAGTGGCTCGATGCATGGCCACCGATGGTGGAGTGGAGGATTTGTGGGACAGGGAGGAGGCTGGAGCCAGTAGAGCGGAGGCAGTGGGTAGTGCTGTGAGGAGAGAGGAGGTTGGAGAGATAGGGAGGTGCCAATGCATAGGGGGATTTAAATACTAGAATGAGGATCTTGAAGTCGATGCACTCTGTGACAGGGAGCCAATGGAGTTTGGCAAGGATTGAAGTAATCGGGCTTAGTGTAGGTTTAGTGTGGGTGAGAATGCGGGCGGCTGAGTTTTGGATTAATTAAATTTTGTGAATAGTGGAGGGGAGACCGGCGAGGAGGGTGTTTGTGTAGTCCAGCCGAGAGGTGACGAAGGCGTGGACAAGGGTTTCAGCAGCTTGTGGTGTGAGGTATTGTCGGAGACTGGCAATGTGGCGGAGATGGAGGAAGGCAGTCCTGGCCAGGGAACGCATTTTGGGGATGCAGGATAACTGGGGATCGAACCTGACTCCTAAGTTACGCATGGGTTCAGAGAGATTTAAGGATAGATCAGGTAGGTTGAAGAAGTCTGAACCGCAGGACAGAAGACTTTGATGGGAGCCAAAGAGTATAGCTTCTGTCTTGCTGACAGTTAACTGCAAGAAGTTTGCACTTATCCAGGCCAGACAAGCTGACAGAACATCAGAGGACTTGGGGTCGCAGCTGGAGGAGAAGTAGAGTTGAGTGTCAATCGCATACATGTGGAAGTTAACCCCGTGACTGTGGATAACATCACCAAGAGGGAGCATATAGATGAGGAATAGAAGGGGGCCAAGGATGGAGCCTTGGGGTACCCACAGGTGACTGGGTGGGGGCGAGAAAAAAACATTTGCGGAAATGTAGTGCTGGCGGTTTGTAAGGTAGGACTCGAACCAAGCAAGTGAGGTACGTACCACTGAGGTGAATGATGGAGGAGATGTGGAGGAGGATGGCGTGATCGACTGTGTTGAATGCGATGGAGAGGCCCAGGAGGATGAGAAGGCAGAGGGACCCCTGGTCATAGATAGAGAGGACATCATTTGTGACTTTCACAAGCGCTGTCTTTGTACTGTGGGGAGGGTGGAAACCGAAATGGAGGGGGTTGAGTAGGGAGTGGAGGGAGAGGTGTGCGCGAAGTTGGCAGCAATGCATTCCACAGCTTTGGCCAGGAAGGAGAGGTTTGAGATAGCGGGGTGGGGCACGAGGTTGGAGGGATTGGGTGTAGGTTTTTTAAGGAGGGGGACGATGACAGCAGTCTTGAGGGGGAATGGGACTGATCCTGAGGAGAGGGACTGGTTAATGGTGTCTGCCAGCAGTGAGCAGAGGAGGGGGAGCTGGGTGATCAGTAGTTGGGTGGGGAGGGGGTTGAGGCAGCAGGTGCTCGGTTTCATTAGGATGATGGAGGATGAGAGGGAGGAAGGAGAGATGGGGGCAAAGGAATGTAAGATAGGGGCCATGGTAGGAGCGGAGGAGGGGTGGGTGGAGGAGACAGAATGGGAGGGTGGGTAGTCGGGGACACGGGGCAGGGGGATGAGTCCATGACCTCTTCTCACTTGGCATTTGAGGTAATGATTGAGGGTGCTAGAGAGGGCACATGGAGGAGGTGGTGGGTGGTGGAGAATAGGATTTTGGAGATTTTGGAGTTAACGACTACTCATTCGTCATGGGTGAACCTCGACAGTCAGTATGGTCAGGCTGTTCTACCATCACAGTTTTGTTAGATAATCTTAGATACTTGCAGTGAGTTGACAAAGAGTATCAAACCAAGTTCAATCCTTCGCTTCCTTGATAATCTAAACACTCACTCTTTCCAGAAGGGGTTTCTTGGATTATGGTTAAGAATAGAGACCTGATGGTGTATTCAGGACACATTGCTGAATACAGTAAAGTGCTGAAATAGAATTTACACATTCAAAGCTTTGTAGAATGTGGTGTCCTGTCAGGAGAGCTGGACTTTGATATACTAGTATCTAAATGAAATCTTATTCATATTTCCTCTTAAATTATATTTTTAAAAAGTCTACAAATAACTAATATTATTAATAAGAAAAATTAATATAAACTTCAGGTGTGTTCACAGGCAAATGTCCTTTTCCTTTAAAACTTTGTACATGCTTAACGTTTCCCATCTTGCTGTACATCTCTTGATTAGATCCAGAATTCCACTGACTTCCTGAAGTTTATTAATATTATTATATTAATATGAAAAAATGTTTCAAACTAATTTTCTGATTTCTTACAGTCAGACTGTTTTATGGACTAATAGAGCACATGTTAGGTAAACCCATGCTTGATGTATTTCCATAGGTGCTGGGATCTGTGAAAAATAAAACAGAGCAGTTTGCTTCTACAAATGAAGACGTCTTAGTTCTCCTGCCCCAAGCTCGGGATTACTTACTCTCACGGGTGTCAACCTCCACTTCAGGCATGTTCATAGCCAAAGGTACCTTTTGTTTAAAACTTTTTATATGCTTAATGTTTCCCATCTTCCTTTACATATCTTGATTAGATCCTTAATTCCACTGACTTCCTGAAGTTTATTTTTTATTCTAAAGATCAAAAAGCAAAATTGGAAACCAAGACAGTACAAATGTAAAAACATACACGAAGACCCCTTAAGACCAAGCAAGACCTCCTTTTAAACAGATTTAATGAGTGTGCTAATAAATCTGCAGCAATTTTTTACAATAATTATGACACATTCTAGGCTGTAAATTCTGATTATTATGCCTAGCAATATCAGAATCATTTCCCGTTCCCTCCAGTGCAATAGCAATTATTATCTGGCATCAAAATTGCTGCTCAGAATCTTCATTAAAATTCCCCAAATACATTTAATTTTTCTGTTCATTATTCTTGTCCAGGTGTGCGTAACAGCTCTAGGAAATGGGTAAAGAAAATTCTATTTGGTACTCAATGTTGGCAATAACTACTATACCAGTAGCTCTGCCAAATGTGGTAGCCAATTGCGCACAGGATTTGGCTGCCGCATTTTGCCCACAAAATATACAGTCAACTCACTTAAGAGTATGTTCTGTGAAGCGTTTTGAACGTCTCGAAGATGTGTTAAGGCGCTATATCAAATGCAAGGATTAATATTATTAAATGACGGTGTTTGTAAAACTGAGCCATGGAGACCCAGAAGATCCCAATTCCATCAGTGATTTGTATAACGGGACTGCAAATAGCTTCTGTACTCTGACTGGGGAGAAAAATCATCAGTGTTCTGCTTCTGATTACTATCAGTAGTAAACTAAATATTGTATTACATAGAAATCAGAGGGCTGAAATCCCTCATGGGCTCAGCCTTAATAATAAAAATAATAATCCTTGCATTTGATATAGCGCCTTATCACATCTTTGAGACACATTCAGTCCCAATTTGGAAGTCAGTTTTTCCTAGTTCTTTTTATGTAATTTGTCATTTTCTGGTGTTGATCTCATTTCCACCAGCAACTAATTGCAGTGCCCAAAATTATTTCACATAAGGTTTGTATAACTTGTACAGAAGATCAAGATCAGTTTGGGCGAAATTGGAGGATTGCCTCTGAATAAACAGACAAGGTTTTAACCCACCGTGCCACCTCTACCCTCTCAAAAACATTTATAAATGTATTGAATTCAATTCAACAGCATTTGTTTTGTATTTAGACCATTTTTAAGATTTGAAAATTCTAGGTGATTGATAAAGTAAAAAGTTGCAACTTAAACTTAAGGTTCACAGGGTCATCTAGAACCTCCTCAGTTTGTTATGCCACCTGAAAATCATAGTCTTATAGATCCTTTCAAAGACCCACAATCCTAAAGTCTGGTTATCAGACCCAAATTTGGATTTTGGCATTTTAACCCTGATTTGATCAGACACTTGACTTGTGTGTAGTATACAACACATCACGGTATACTAGTAGCTGAGGTGAAATATAAGTTTAAAGGGACTTTGTCTGATAGATTTTTGGGGTGTTCATTTTGCACTTGGAGATTGAATGAATGAGGATGAACAAACAACAGCCTCAATTTAAATGTAATATGTGGAAGAAATGGAGCTAATTGGGAATTTGGAATTTATTCCAGATGTATAGTTTCCGAACAAAATGCAAATTGGCTTTTTTTCCCAGCCTCCTCTTAAATTTCTCTTGCAGAGAATAAGCACAGTCAACGTGCTGCTGAGAACGGACACAAGATCCTGAGTAGTCACCAAAATGCACTGCAGCCACTTTCAAGCAATCTACAACAGTCAGTGGCTCCTCCTCCCTCTCATGTGAAAAACACCATCCATGCAGCTGTCATCTTCACAGAATTTTTGAAGGAACTTGCAGCAATTGCACAGGAACATTCCATCTTATCTCACACACCACTAGAAGAATGTGAAGAATAACCGATCCTGCAATAGCAAACCTTAAGGAAATGTTTTTAATCTACAAATGTCCTAGTTTTTTTAAAAAGATTTTTTTAAACATATCCTTTTGCTAAGAAATACCTCTTAAATTCGTGAACAACATTTCCAAGCCTTAACTATAGTGGAAGAGGTGCTGAGAATGATATGGAGGAAAAATTGGAACTGTTTTCTCGAACGATAGTTCCATGATATGGAGTTGTTTTCTACAAATTACAAGTATTCTGTATTCAAGTTTGCTTTTTAATATGCAGCAGCCTTATTTTAGAATATGGAATTGAAACTATGCAAGCTGCAATGGATGTAAATTTTACAGAGGCAAAAATGTATTCATTCTTTAAATGGCAGAGGGTATTATATTATTTTATAGTAAATATGATTCTATGTTTATAGATTTGAGGTGTGAACATTTATAATGATGAAAAACAATCTATTTAAAAAAACTAACAATGATCCTGCAATGTTGCTCTGCAAGTGGTACCAAAGATGAAATGAGAGGATAACATTTCAGAACAAGACTTTGACATTGTGATAAGGAAAATAATCGTTCCACTTAAGTTAAATTTGTCTCGTCTTTTCTGACTTGACAAATTGTTCTCAAAACCCTAAATGTGTATTGGTGATAAGAGGATTTGAGTGTAATTGTTCAGCTACTTTAAAGCAGCAGATGTGGATTTGAAATAAGGTTTGCTCATTGTGGTGTAGCCTCAAGCACATTTTTATGCTCACAAGTAGATCTGTGTATTGTATTTATAGTAGGTTGTTGTTGATTTTTTTGGGGGGGAAAGAGAAACTCATAAATGGTCATTCATTGACTTCACTGTGTTAACCATTTGAGTGCTCAAATGTTGGGTCCTAACGCATACTTCCTGTTTTGCCACTTGTTCAAAACGTACAACTAGAATATCAAAAAATATACACGTGTATTTTGATTCATGAATGAAGTATATTAATTTGGCACTAAAATCCTATTCTACATCTCAAAGGGTCAATGGCATTCATAAGTAAATTGTAAACTTCTTTCTGAAGATAAGATGCCTAAAAAAGTAAAATACACACTAAACGTTGGCGGTAGTTTCTAAAATGTGTATCACTGTGGAAGCTGCCATTTATATCTGGAGGTTATCAAGGATCTCTTTACTAGGTCTGGGACAAGTTTTATTTTCAAGCACAAGTATCTTGTTTTGTTCCTCAACCTAAAGTTGGAGTTCAAAATTTTGGAAAAAAACTAGGCATTAAAGTTTTCCAAAAATGGTCATTGAATTGTTGAGTAATTTTATCAGCGTATAAATATGGTAAAAGGTTCCTACAGTACACCAATCATCAAATTGTAAAACACCCCCCACTTCTCCCCCATTTTACTCCTCAAGAGTCCCACAGGCACTAATCTGCATCTCACTCATGGTTACACATCTTATTTTGTTACATAATGCAAGATGAATTTAACTTATATAGCTATTGAGCAAATCAAAAGCATGATCTGCACGCACTGCAATCTATTTGTCTCGCATACATTTGTTCACTCCAGGGGCAACCATCATGAATGAATGCACCCGAATAGAAACTAACCAAACTGAAAAGACTTGGTTGCAGGATCAAAATCTGTCAATCCTACACTTAGCTATTCTAAAGCAACTGATTCCATTCTTAAAATGACATTTTCTCAAGTTGTATTAAAGTCAACATCAGTCTACTCCAGGTTGCTGAGCACACACCTGCTGATTTGCAAGAATTTGCACTACTTTTTAATTAAAGGTCAATGAAGAGAAGTCAAAAAACGTCCCAAAAATGTTGAAGGAATGAGGTCCAGCAAAATGAGCTCAGGTATTCATGTTTTGTAAAGTCAATTATATTTAAGATATTTTTGTTTTATTTGTGCATGATTCAGGTAGTTCACAACAGGGTATATATTACAGTTGTTCACTGCAAATAATGGACGAGCACAAATGTAAAATACTCTAGTTATAGGGTACATATTTCATCTGTAACATACAAATTTTCAAGAATTCTGTGTTGCTCTAAGTTGGAATATGATGATCCAGATCCCATTCATCCAACGTTTCCCTTTATAGAATCACTTTTTCTTTTCATCTGTGTGCAATCTGCCCTTTCAGGACAGTTTCTTTTCCAAAATGGCTTTCACCAGGTTGGGGGCAGCCCGCCTATGTGTTGCCTTCTGAACCTGTCCAATCAGTTTATTTAACACCTTCCAGTTTCCTTTATGAATTTCAGAAACCTACAACACAAGTGAAAATGAGGCCATAGTAGATAGACTCAGGCATGTAATATGTCTACCCTACATAATTATCATAAATAATCAGAGAAGCCATAAAGTTAGTCAAATTAGCCATTTTGGTTTTATGGACAATAAAGTATCTGAAAACCAGGATTAATCAAGTTCATTAGATATTAAACCCTTGTTAAAAATCTCAGAAATGTTATGCGTTTACAAAGTATGTGTTTCAGCATAAATCGTGTGTGCAACATCCTAACATTTGTGCATTTTGGATTATTGTTAAGGTTGGTGCTGACAGTTTTGCAAGATGGCTACAGGGACAGGGCAGCAAGATTGCACTGTCATAACTCAGAGATTACACACTTTACATTCTTACATAGTTATCTGCCCTACTACCTGTGTTTTCCTGAGTTTGTTTCACAATAACAATTGACATTTATATAGCGCACTTACAGCTGGAGCTTGATGTCAAACAGGAGAGAAGGGGGAGGTGACGGAAGGAAAGCTCAAAGGCAAAGGTCTTCAGGTGCAATCTCAAGCCGGGCAAAGAGGGGGCAAGGCAGAAGGATTGAGGAAGATCTTCACTAAAATTGAAGAATTTAGGACTACCTCAGCTAGAAACAAATGATCCTTTTTTCACAAAATAAAGCTCTAACAAGTTAATTGACTATATTCTAACTTGTGAAAAAGGATAGGTAATTTTACAATGTTATTGAACTTACTTTGTACGCATAAAATAGAACCAATAGCAGTTCCAAATGAATGCTTAGGATTTTGTTTACGACTAGAGGCCCTTTATTCTTATGATGTTAATGAACAGATGAATGTTCAGTTCGGAGGCTGGTGCAACAATATGTGGAGCTCATTGATTTTTTTTACTGCCATGAAAACAATACAGGGCAGCAAACTGCTGTAAAGAGTTCCACGCCTGTAGTTTGATGGAAGGAATTCTGACAGTGTTATGAATCTCGGGAGAAGCTCAAGAGTGAACTGCCGCAGTGAAGCTTATGCTGGAGTATGGCTCAAGTACACCCAACAGATATCTGTTACCTTACCCAAGTGGCCAGAAACAGCTGACTTGAATGTCAATAGGCTAGATGATCAAGATACTTCACAGTCTAGTCCTCTCTTCACCTGACATCCACAGTCATACTATCCTGCAATGGCTGTGGACAGCCAGGCCTAGATCCACATTGGCACTGTCACAGCACCAGTTAGCATTTATCAGATCAGTCGGTGTGGAGCTGTTTGATTAAAAACAAGACAGTAGCATCTGCTGAAGTGGCTTACCTCCTTAGGGTGATTTTCAATAATAGACTGGCAGATTTGTTCTAGTTTTGCTTGGTCTTGGAGCAATCCCAGTTCTTTTTCTTTCACTATCTGGGAGGCTGATTTGCCTTCTTTCTTGCACATTTCAGTGAACACCTACCAACCCAAACCAGAACCAGAGCTAAAAAGGTACAACACTGGTCAGATCCACCATGATAAATAATTTCAGTAGTTATTTCAAAATAAAATTTGCAAAACAAAGTAGGATTTACTGCAGATCTAATAAATAAGATAATTCTTTAATATGATTTCTAGAATTGGAATTATGACACAAATCCCTCACTATTCTGCTATCGGTAATATAATTTGCATATTTCAATTCACCATCATCCACTAAACTAGTCTCATCTCTGGAATTATTAAAATGGAAATTACCAGATTCCTCATCCAAAGCATAGCAGCCAGAGATCATTATCAGAAAAACAAAGGGTTGTGTACAGAATTGAGAATCAAGGCTAGATATTTTGATACAATAAATGCCGCTATAAAATTTTTCATGCACAGCTCCTTAATGGAGCATAAACCTCAATTACAAGGATGAACAGAAGCTGACGTTTATTCACCTGTTTTGCTGCTGAAGATGAAACAACTCCTTTTTCCAAAAGGTCAAGCAGCTCTGATAAGGCCAAAGGCTTGAAGGGACTGAAAAGATTGTGTAAATAAGATAAATGCACTAAAATAGTACATTGTAAATAAAAAAACTGCTTAAAGGTTTGGATTGTGTGCAATTATGAAGAAATACTGGGAGCAAAATGTGTAAAATGGGAAGTTCTGTAATCTAATAATCATTCATAGAACAGTCAAAGCATATCCTATCAAAAGTACTTAAGATTACAAAAAGCTTTGGTGAGGACAAAAATAAACTAAAAGCACATGAAAGCAGTTGTACTAGTGGCAGTAAGCACATTACTACATCTTGGCAGGAGGGGAAGAAAGTGACTGCACAAAATCAAAATTCTACACTTATCTAATGGAATCTGAGAGTGACAAAATACATTCTTACCAGTAAGGTAAAACCTATCAGATTCCATAAAAATATTTATATACACACACAAAAAAAACTTTCTGAAAAAGGGAAGTCTGGAACACTCAAAATGTCTCCCAGTTGCTGTATGAATATAATGGTTATATAAAATATATGGGACTCTAATTGAAATAAATCATTTGCGGTCTCATTGAAATTTGCCGTCTGTAAAGTTTGTTGATATTTGAATTCAGGTTCCATATATTTTCTGGGAGGAAAAAGAGAATGAATTTGAATTAAACTGACTCCTCCTTGACTTCCTTTTTCCTTTAAGTAGCACGTACAAACATTTATGCACCAATTGTTCTCATGACCTTGCTGATGTAGTTGCTTGAAAGAACATTGTTTCAGACCTTTACAAACTGCTGTTGATTAGCAAAAAACCCAATGACATCTCTTGCCACACACCATCATATTAATTTGATTATATTACCCTCATCATTGGCAATTCAGCTCTCTATGGGAATGAAATGCAGTTCATTCATTTTTACTGCTGTTTTTCAAGGACTAATCACAAATGCACAGTGATAGCCAAGCATACAAAGAAAAACAAATTCAAAGGTATATTCCAGAGAAGATGCAGGAAGGGAAAGGAGGGTCACCTATGTAGACATAAGCCAGTAATTGAGTAGATTAAGTTTTCAACTGCCTTTGATTTAAAAACAATCGCTACATTGTCGGGTGGGGTGAAATTTTAGGCAAGTTTCCTTACTCCACACGCCTCTGTTTACCTAGCAGTAAATAAGAACCCAGTTGTTAATTGATAGGCAAATCGCTTTTCTGGGAGTAATGATCCCTTCCAAAAAATAAAATAAATAAAAATAACAAATTGGTCACTCAATCTAAAAATGTTTATGGGAAACTGCTGTATGCAATTGGCTTCCGTGCTTCGTTCACAGGATATGCAGTCAATTCGTTTCACAGTATGTTCTGTGAAGAGCTTTGAGACGTCTTGAAGATGTGATAAGGGGCTGTATCAAATGCGAAGATTATTTATGATTATTAATTTTCCTCTCGCTACCTGGATTGCTAGAATATGAAGCTAGGCATTTTCCCAATTTCCTCCCACTTCAATGTTGCATCTGAGTCTTGTATCAAAAACCCATCTTTATGTGCTTGCTACAATTTCAATTTTATCTCTGTTAAGGTGCATGAAAACTCAGCAGTTAAAACACCAACACGTCGCCTTGCATTATGTGTGAGCATTACAACATTCTGACAATTAGGGCAGGAAAGAAGTCCATGGTCAAGTTACAGGAAATAGACATAAGAATAACGAGACATTGTCTAATATGAACAAGAGTCATATGGACCAGAAAAGTCCCAGGTTTTTATTCCTTCCTTGCTGAATTTGCTGACCTCAACCAGGATAGCAGATAGGTGTGCCGCAATTGTTGTCCATGGCCTTGAGATATGGGGAGGGAGCAGGAGAGGGAAATAAAGCATTCCCATTCCAATTCACTACCGAATGGTTCCAGGCACAGGTGTTGGACAAGGGCAAGATCAAGTTCAGCCATGATAACCCCATAGTTAAACAGCCCACCACTTGCTGTTTAATCGCAACATGAAGAATGGCTACTTAGCATTGGATACAATACAAGATTAGCACCTTTCATGTCGGGAGGACGTCCCAAGGCACTGCAGGCACCTGCTGGATTGATTCCCAGCATGAGTTGTTGACAAAAGGTAATTATGGGGGTGGGGGAAGAGCAGAATAAACCTAAAAAGGTTCCAATTTGTACATCAGGCAAATTGAAAGACATTGATCAAAAATGTATACACATGGTGGTTAGTTAGGTAATTTGTAAAAAGCATATGGAGCTCAGTGTATGACTCATTCTCACAGGACTAAGCTGGTCTGTTCTTCAGTGTGATTTAACTTTTCTGACATAAGCGCCATCTGTTGGTACCCTTTCTCCTCTAGCCAAAGCAACGTAGCTGAAAATATGTTAAGTGTTTCATTTTTCTTTCACTGTATTTTCAAAGTTCATTTTGGGAATTGCTCACTGTAGAATGAGGCTTATACATTCATGTTTTTTTTCTTAAAACAGAGGGCTAAAATAAGGTTGAGATGTGCTTTTTGTGCTTTGGCAAAGTTACACTGTAATAGTCTAGAAAAAAGGCTTTTCCTGCTCTCCGATGACCTAGTAGATAAAATATGCTGACACATGTGGAATCCATCAGCCTGTATTAAGAGTATCAAACCAGAGTGACAGTCCCCATATGCAGTAGTAAGCCATACCAATGAGAATGTTAAAAGTATTGAATGTTGGTTTGTGTTGTTCATTCAACTGAATTGAAAGAATAATTGAAGGAACTGGCGGGGGTGGGGGGCCGGTGTAGATCTGCTCTGACCCACTTGCTGACTTGCTACACACTGTATGTGCTTTGACATTTGGATCAGGCAACAGTGTGATAAATGCTGAGATCAAACAACCTGCTAGTACTCACTGATAGGGTTCACGCATGAGTAATGACCACTTGGTCAAGGTATGAGAGTGCCCATGGAGCTGCCCAGTAGACAGTAAAGGGAGCTAAATGCTTTCAGGAGAAGAGGTTAAGGAGGGAAGAAAACAAGAAAAAATTGGCTAGAAAAAAATACTACCAACAAGGTTAAATGAAATGCAGGTCTCCAGTTCAAGTCACTAAAAGAGCAATTAATAGCAGCTAACCTTTGTCGTACTGTAAGGTTATTCTGTTTCAAAAATCCCAGGAACTCATTAATTATCCAACTGATCACCTTCCTGGGATTGGCCAGAGTGTTTTCCGCAACAGTTTCAAAGAATTCCATCAATCCATCTTCACTCTGCAACAGAAATGTGACAATTAGAACATTGTTGAAATGCGTCATTTCAAGTTTCTTAGCCAATGTTTTCGTCATATTCCTCTTCTGCACAGGGAATGGCAGGAGGCTATGATAATCACAGCCAAGGTTGAACCTGATACAGTCCACTTCTGACATTCATATTCATGTAGAGTTCATTAAATGGAAAGCCAAGTGCAGAAAACATAGCTAATCCTCGTCCATTACAGCCGATTCACTTATAACAAGACAACACTGATAATAGCAATTTGCTTCATTATCATCAGGTATTCAATCAAGTGTTAATGTCAAGATATTGGCTGAGGTCAACTGTAATGCCAAATAAGCCTCCAGCAGAGGTCAGCTAACCCAACACAGACCAGAGACTGAACCTGACACCATGCACCGTATCCCATCATACAGTGCATTAATCACTGGGTCATAAGGGAGCTGCTCATTTAGAATAGCTGATATACACCATAAATCTGAAATTAAATACAATTGCAATTTGTAACTTATAACGACTCCATGAAGTCCAACATCATTCTTCTTCACTTCCCACTTTCTCCTAAAGGGGTCTTTGACTCCTTGTTGCATAATGTAGCAAATACAGTTACACAGTGCTAGTCGCCAACTGATTTTTGATCAACTGATAATATTAGCGCCTTGGGATGTCCTCCCGACGTGATAGGCGCTATGCAAATGTAATCTTGTTGTTGTTGTATTATAGCAAATGCTCACTCCCTATTGGTTTCTGAGTCAAATTTAGAATGGTAATTGAGCTTCATTTCAAAATTAAATCAAACTGTGTCCTTTTTCGTCCCAGTGACCGGGTACCAATGAATTTGAAAAGATAGCAGCTTTAATTCTATAGAAACAGGAGAAAGTCAGAGGATTTATCCATCAATTTACCATTCAAAATTGGAAGTTAGTAAGATAACTGTGACTAAACTTCATGGTACAAATGTCTGTGCAAATATACAGTAGTTTTAAAGTGTTTCTGCAGTAAACCCACATTGTGACTCTACCTCTTCTAATCCAATTACTCACCATTAATGTGATGCTGTGTTCAGTGAGGATATTATACTTTTCCACCAGTCTTGTTCGCTTAACACTCGGTAACTCGGGCATTTGTTCACGGATCTGGTCAATATTCACTACTTGCTGATGATTCACATTAGAGGGGAGTGTTTTGTTGTCATAAATTATCAATGGAGGCAAATTCGGCTCTGGCATGAACCTAAGGAACATTTAAACCATATAGGCAGTTTAAACACTCCACATTAATTAATTTGCTTAATGAAAACCTCTCCTTTTACTTCCCTAATCACAATCGTAAACTAAACCCCTTCACTACTAATCTTTTACCAATGCGTAGGGACCTCCTACCGACATGAAAGGCACTATTTAAATGTAATTTGTTGTTGCTGTTTTACAGTGAATTCTTTGAAACCCTTTCATTATTTCACACCTCTATCATTTCAACCTTTTCTGTCCCAAAGGAGAGTCCTAACCTCTGTAGCCTCTCCTCACAGTTATATCCTTTCATTTCCAGCATCATCCTCACAAAACTATTCTGCACTCACTCTACAGCTGTAATATTATGTCTATTATATGGTACATAAAACCAGAAGCTTGTAAGGGGGGAGAAAGGAGAGGGTGACCATTGGGCTGAATACAAGACTGTACAAAAAGAAGACCAGGGAACAAAAAACAGATTAGAGAAGCCAAGGGACATAGAGCAAATGCAAAACATAACCCCCCTGCCGCCCACCACACCCCCCCGCAATTCCTTTAATATTACAACAGTAGTAGGGAAGACGTTAAAACCCTTAGGGATTCTAATGCAGTTGTAAAAGAGAATAAACAAGATACAGCAAACATATTAAATGGCTACATCCTGGAGGTTTTTAACCGGGGAGGACACTAAGAACAAGCCACCCAAATGCAGGCAAACATTGTTTGAGCTCCACGACTTCAATATAAAGGAGGCTGAGATTCTACATAGGCTCAAGGGGTCGAAAACTAACAAATCCCCGGGACAGATGAACTGTACTCCAGGCATTTAGGGAGACAAGGCAGGAGATTTATGCAACACTGACAGACACCACAAGGGAGTCAGTCAGGACTGGGGAGGTTCCAATAGACTGCAAGTAAGCAGATGTTGTTTCCATATTCAAGAAGGGTGACAAACTAAACTTGGCAACTTCAGACCCATTAGCTCAATACTCTGAGCTCAATAATTGGAAAAGTTATAGTCAATCATCAGAAAGGAAGTGGAAGATTATCTATATAAAATAATCTAATATTTGACCACCAATAGGGTGTTGCTAATTGCTGTACTTTCAAACCATAATGACTTACTTTATCCTTTGATTTATTTTGTTCCATTTAGGATTCATTTCCTCTGACTAAAGGTCAATAAACACAAATCACCCAGTTAAAAGGCTACATTTTAATGAGCACTTTATATTAAAAAGTATAGTCTTATCTACCAACTAGTAACCTTTACTAAATCTTTTCAACATTAGCGCAGTCAGAAGTAGAATTGGAGGTCATCCACAGCCCAGGTATTTCACCTTAGATGTGTGTAGCTATAGAAGAAGCAGTAAATAAATAAAGCGACTAAAGCAATGGAGAGAGAAAAAAAATCATTCGTTGTTTGGAATTGATATTGCTGCTTACAGGAAGAAATATAAAATTGATTCAGAAGGGAAGAGAATTTAAGTACATTGCTCTCTTTAATAAACTACGACCTACTAAATCATAAACATCAGCAATTGTTCCTTTTTCATTTATATGAAATATTCATTGAAGTAAATGCCTAATCTAACAGGCTCTTATTTAAATACTCTTATTAAAGCAATACTCAAATTCTGAACTTACCCTGTAAATGTTGCTGCTGAAATGATATTACTACTCTTTTTTCAAATTAGCTAAACATGGTGATGGTGTGAGGGGTGGTTGGTGGTAAGCAAGGTCGCCTTGAAGCTGGGCTGGCCTCCAGATGATGTGTTTGGCAATCAATAGTGGAATTGCTTGGCAATGAGATGTTGGAATCTCTGGCAGTCTCGATCGTCTAGTTCCCAATCAGGTCTGCAGGACTCCAGGGCACTGTTGATGAAGGTCCAGCCAGTCTGGCCCATTAGCAGCACTTGGAGGGGCAGGAATGCTTCCCACTCAGCTCATGTTAACCTTGCAAGCCAAAGCCCTAACTGGCGAAGTGGTTCCAGCTGGACAAGCAGTGGAAAGTTTGCCAGGCAATTCTCTCAAAGACAAGTTTTTAACTGGTTAACTCCAACAGTCCCCAAATCTCGGCTCTCACCAACCTGACCTCTAGAATTAGATAAGCAGGGTGCATCTCTCCAGGGAGAGTGCACATTTTATTCCAGATGTTGGGGAAATTCCCATGTGTGGATGGCATACAAATGTGGAACTCAGTCTGGTTTGGATATTCTTAAGCATTGTGATGGGTTTCCACACACATGCATCATGACACCCATTGAGAACAGGGGAAGCAGCATATATTTGGTAATAAAAATCAGCATTTTAAACTTTTCAACACAATATTCTATTACCCATCAGAACTTAAAAGGTTCTTTTTGCATAATTGAGGTTAATGACTTATAGTAAAAAAAGAAAAATATGCAGAGCTCAACATTCGCTGTGACAAATAACAAATTACCTGTAGTCTTGCTTTCCCTCTTTATCTCTCATCGGTATGGTCCGTCTGAAAATATTTTTAAAAATGTACTGATTTGTCTGGGGCAAAAGTACATATTCTTTCCTATAGCTATCATAGTGTTCATGTTGGAATGCTCAGTATAATCTGCACAAAATTCTCTCAAATGGCATTAAAATCCCTAAAGGAAAGGTTTAATTGCAAGTTCTGTTTGTTTACTCATTCCCTTAACATTTCCTATTACATATTAAATTGTATTCTGTATTAGTATGATGAGACAAAAGACCTTTTCTGTTTACTTTTAGTTATAATTTTATGATTAATACTAATGCTGCATCTCTCCTGCTGGTTGCACAGCAATATCAACAGTACAGTAATGTGAAGCTGGAAGCCTGATTCATATGTCCTGCTCCTAAATGCGTCAAATCAACCGGTTAAAAACCAACTGATTTTGAACAATAGTTTTTTTTTAAAGTTAGAGTGGATGTAAGTAGAGATCTTTAATAATAATAGTTTCTGAAATACTCTTGGACCGTTCAATACATCGCCCGAGAGCCTCAACAGACCATAAAACAGTGAGCACAATTCAAATGACACCCATGGCATATCACACTGCTCTTAAAATCACCCCTGTACACAGTGGTAGATGCTGTGAGATTGAGTCTTGCAGAAGCAAATAGTCATCAAAATCAGAGCGATACTTTGCACTGCTTAACAGTCATAAATCAGTCATAAGTCTTCCTTTTAAAAAGAACAAGCAGATTATTTCCTTCCCCCATAGAAAACGAGCAGTGTAGTGTATTAACAAACCACAAAGACCAGGAAGGTTCCATGTTCCCGTCCTTGTCCATGTACAGTTGATTGATGTTAGACTGGGCACCAATAGGGATTCTAAACCCCAGGCTAAGGAGGGCAAAAACACTATTCAGAGATTTCATGAAAATGCGTGTATCTAGGTCAGATGAAGAAATGGTTATATTGCACTGTATCCATAGGATTCATTGGGATACAATATTGCACAGGCTCTCTCTACTTACCTTGACCAGGAGGTCATGTTTCAAGTGTCACCCAGACAGCAAGTATCAGTGGGCTACTTGATCAGAGGCATCACAACTGAGCCTTCATCTGACACCTGTGCACCTTCTCTCAGGGTTACTTGTTAGCAATGAGTATGAAAAATTGGATGATTTTAATTATCTTCAATTGTCACAATGCTACTGGTGCCATGCTAACTTGGCACAGAAAGGAAATTTAAACTGTAACCTTACACAAAGGTTTTGTGATACAATGTTATTAATTTAATTTTCTGTGCTCCAAAAGCATGTGTATTTCACAAATCACACAACAGGAAAATTAAAAGTGGGATATTAAGAAAAAAAGCTTTTCAAATTTAGGGAAAAGATAAGAGGCTGAGTACAAGATTATATAGTTTGTAATATTATTGCCTCAGAGTCAAAAAGTGAGTTCAAGATGAATGTTGGTATGTGTGCTCACAGTCTTGACCGACATGCACATTCTAAGTACCATCATTTGGATGAGACGTTAAACTCAGTATACAAAACCTCTGCGTAAGCCTGTTCAGGTAAACATAAAAGATCCCTCGACACTACTTGGAAAAAGAAGTTTCTTCCAGTGCCCTAGCCAGCATTCACCTCTTGCTGTTTGTGGGTATTTGAAGTGCACAAATTGGTTGTATTTGCTACAAATACAATCACTACACTTGACAGTCATAACTGTGAAGGGCTTTGAGCTGTGTTGACTTTGAGAGTTCCTTCCTTAGTTATCAAGAGTAAGATATATATATACACACACACACACACACTTATATATAGTATCGCCTCCACTTGAGATCAGTCAACTCACCAGGCGATATAGTGGAGTCCTGTAGCTCAGTGGTTAGAGCACTCGCTTTGCAAGCGAGAGACCTGAGTTCAATTCCAGGCAGAGGGCGAAACCTTGGGCAAGTTTCCTTACTCCACACAGAGCCTAATAATAATCCCTCCAAAAACCAAAAACAATAATTAAATTGGTCATCTTCAATCTACGACAGTTTGTGGGACATTGCTGTGCGCAATTGGCTGCCGCGTTCGCCCACAAATATACAGTCAATTCACTTTACAGTATATTCTGTGAAGTGCTTTGGGACGTCCTCCTGACGTGAAAAGCGCTATATCAAATGCAAGGATTATTATTGTTATTATAGCTCAGTATTGGGGTCATTTATTGATAATAATTCTTGCATCTGATATAGCACATTATCACTTTGTCAAAGATGTGTCAGAGCGCTTCATGGGAATTATTGTACAGTATAGTAACTATAGTAATTTGTAGGCAAATACAGCAATGTCCCACAAACAGCCATGAAGCAAATGACCAATTTTATCTGGGGCATTGTTAGCCAGGACACCGGGAGAAATTCTTCTCTTTTCAAATAATGCCATGAGATCTTTAACATACATTTTTAACAGACAGACAGACGGGACTTCTCTCTGTCTGACAGACAAGATTTCTCTCTGTCTGACTTTTTTGTCTGACAGACAACCCCTCTAATAATGCAATACTTCAGTTGCTGCATTGGAGTGTCAGTGAGACTATGAGCTTAAAATCTGGATATGGAGCTTGAGCCTACAACCTCTGACTCAGAGGCGAGACCAGTGAGACTGAGGGTGGGGCCACTGCAGTTTAATAATTATTCTCTCCTCTCCCCAAAAGGGCAAAAAAAAAATTCTTACCCCGATTTATAATCAAATGCTCTCGTCTCGTTTAATATTATTTCTCCATTCTCCAGCACTTCAATTTGCCTCTGAATTTCATAATCTGTTACAAAATAAAATAAACTAGCATTATTATTACAATCAAGATAAAAATTAATTCACTGCAAAACTAAATGTTTTTACTGCTTTTTTTAAAAAAATGATACAAATCGAACAATCATTTGGGGTGGTTTTGGAGAAATAGAATGAAATAAAAAACACTTATAAAAAGAGCTGCACAGTGTACTGCAGCTAAAATCTGGATTAAGGGCAGATAAAGGACACATCACAGACCGATTGCTCTTGCCAAGAATCGAGCACTGTTGATATTCTTCACTTCAGCTCTCACACCATAAGGCTCCCCAGGTTGATGTACAGAAATGTTGGCATCCACTCTCAACTGTCCCTCTGCACAAATGAAAACATGACATGATTACAAGCAGCTCCAACAGTAATGGAATTGTCACAATCTGCTTATCATTAGTGGATGAAAATGGTGCAAATAATATAGATATAGATATCTATATGTAAACAAAACTGCCAGACAAAACTAATCAAGCACGACTCTGTCATACTGGATAACTTAAATCTGCCTCCTGACAGCAGTAGATGAAAAATATTAACAAGATATGATGCATATGGTGTATGCTGCATTAAACTATGTATAATAATCCTTGATTTAATATAGCGCCTAATCACGTCAAAGTGTCCCAAACATCACCATACGTCACTGTATTTATAGGCAAAATGCCCACATTGTCTCAAAATCGCGATGAAGTGAATACTTTTTTTATTAAAAAAATGGCACTGTAGTTTAGGACCTAGGGGGAAATTTCCCTTCTCTTTTTGAATAGTGTCATGGAACCTTACTTTAAAGTCACATCTGACAATATAGGGCTCTGCCAGTATTGCTTTGAGCTCAAAGTATCATAAGCATCACATACTGCCCTTTTCAAAATAATAAAATTAGAATTATTGACTATATAATGAAGAATAAACCTAAGAAAAAACTAAGATAAACTAAGAAAAAATTAGTTTTACTTCCTAGAAAAATTCAGAGAAATTGCGAGTGCCTCAAGGTTTGACTCTTTAAAAGCAAAATTAAATATTTAGTGTTCTTTTAACTGTCTCTACTACACATTTGTAAATAGTTCTCTGCATTATATTCAACTTATTAAACCAGATAATTTTATTCTCAAAGCTATGAAAATTACTGTACATAAATCCCTCCACATCCTAGTACCTCTCTATCTCTGATCTTGTCCCATCCCACCCCTCATCCCTCTCCACTTTTGCTTGGCAAACCTCTTTGTGAAGTGCTGAGCTGTCATCCTATATGAAGTATGCCACATAAATGCAAGTTGTTGGAATATATTCACATGCAGGACTCCCCCAGCACTGTATGGAGTATAGTCATGACGAGGAACTTGAATCTGCAACCTTTTGACTCCAAGGTCAGAGTGCTACCAATTGAGCTGACTACTGGTTAACACTTTCTACTCTGTTTGGACGGTCCAGGGTTCATGTCTCTGTGCTAAGTTAGCTGATATCAGCCAGGTAGCAGTTGGAGCACTACACTTAGTCTCAGGGCAGGAAAGATCAGTTCCCAATTTCTAGAGACAGCCCCAACCCCTTACTGGATGGCCTTGTGTATGTGTGTTTGTATACATATATGTCTCAAGCAAGAAAATTCAGTCAAGGTTTTCAATGATCAGTCCCTATATGGGACACTGCTTGTAAACCTGTGTTGAAGTCTCACAGGCGGTTCTAAATTTAAACTTAATTTTTAACTGTGTTACTATAGGCTCTCAGATCAAAAACACAGTGGAGCACTGTTATAACGCTGTTAATTGGGGTTCAAAAAATCCCAACCAGCACTATAACACGGGTGAGATTACTGGTTGGGGTTTCTGCATTCGCTGAGTATACCAGCATCATGAGAAGCCCAAATGGCTTCATGCACAGTCTGCATGAAGTGACAAGGTGTAGCTGACATCACTTAATGTGCGCTGTGAACAGAAAGCGATGTAGTAAGCAGCCTGATGATCTAGGTGTATGTATCTCAGGAAAGAGAAGATTCAGGCTCGACTCTAATGCTTTCTGCAGTTTCCAGTGGATTTCAGGGCTATTGCTGACATTTTGAAGCATCAATGGAGCAAGTACGTGCATTTTGGGCAAATAAGCATCAGGGATCATACCTTAATCACGCTATAAACAAATTCACAATAAAAAGGTAACACGTGCTATAAAAGGATTCAGGGCTCCGATGCTACCTCATGTGAAGGACGCTAGTTGAATACAAACTTGTTGTTCCTGCTGTAATTACCTGCCATATTTCCACGGCATGTTCCAAGCTGCTGTAAGATAAGTTGCAGTTCTCGAACTGCTGCTGCAGCCTCTTCCCCGCAAGTCATATCCGGCTCCATAACAATCTCGATTAGACCAACCCCTGACAATCAAACATTATCCATTTAGAAGGTACCTTGGGGAACAAACATAATACTACTGAGAATCAGGGGGGAAAACGAGTCGGGCTTTCAAATACTTCATCTTACAAAATTAAAGAAAAAGATGCAGAATATTCTAATGTAACACTGATAGAAAACAAATCAGATTTGTATCTTAATTACATCTTAATTACCATGCTTCATGTACTGTTTAAAGGTCATGGCCCATTTCTCCTTTAAACTCATCACCTTGATATTAGCCCGCTCACACAAACCACTGCTAAAATCCGCATTCATGCATTTGTGACTCCCGACCCCTCTTAACATACTCCTCACTGGTTTCCCTATTTCCAGCATTCACAAACTCCACCACCCACATCCTCACCCACACCAATCTCTGCATGCCCATCACTCCAGTGCTCATAGCCTCTGTCTACCAAATGGATGAATGATTTCAAGAACCTCAGTGTCACCTATAAATCCCTTCACTCCCTAGAACCTTCCTTTTGTTGTGACCTCCAACCCCACTTCTGCTAGCCCACACTGCTCGGCAAACCTGGGCCTGTTGCAAGTCTCCCACCCCAGCATGAATGGCCAAGCCCTCAGAAACAACATCACCACCCTTCGGATTTTCCTCTCTACTCCTCCATCTTGCCCTCCTCTCTATCTGTCGTTAATCCCCACCCGAAAAACTACCTCTCCAACTACCGCTACAGTCACCTCCTACCTTTTGACACCATCCGTATGAAGCGCTCTAAGTCATTATCCTACGTGAAGGATAAACTAAGCCAATTGGCAATAGTTCATTAAATAATACGCCAAATATTATGGCACAGGGCCATGCATACAAGGAAGGACTCTCGGCTAAAAGCCTCGGTATGGCTGCTGTGAATGTCACATCAACAGGCAGAATGCACAATTTGTACAGCTATTCATGGTGATGTGCATAGTTTAAAAAAAACACGGTCAATGCAATTCAAACTACAATAGAAGGCACTTTAACATTCTAATTTACATTGATTTTAAAAGCCAATCATCTCTTCAAACGCATGAGCACAGTTTAATTAAAAATATCTCCACTTCACTTTTTAAAAAAAAATCAGGATTTGTTCTTCAATGTGCCTTAAATTAAAATAGATTAAACAGTGGAGTAAGATAGCAAATTGGCTTGGTAGAGTTGCTGAGCAGTATTCAGGAATATGATTTAACTCATCGATGTTTCAATGAGTGGGTCATTTGAACTGTTTGTGTTCTGCTCTCTCACACTGCCGTGCTAAGCTAATTCCTCTAAGCAGAACCTTGTGATAAAATCATTGACAATTGGTTTCCAAATTAAAGTAAAATCTATACTAATAAAGACTAAATGTCTGTGTGTCTGTCCGCCAAGAACGCAATATCCAATTGACACAGCTACATGATTTATACCTTATCAGAAAGGTCTTGCATGGGAGAGTGACATAGGCATATTTTTTTTCGGGATCTTCTATCGTTGATGAGCTATATTTAAAAATTGCTTTCATTAAGCCACAAAATATGAGGTATGCATGGAATTCTCCAATAAAGTAGTGACAAAGGAAATCACATACCCTTCCAGAGAGATACATCTATACTAACATATTCTGCAACAAAGTAGCACAGAAAAAAGTTTTGACCTAAACAAGCTCATCACACAGGTTGACCTACCAACTCCCCGCCAGGAGCCCTCTCCCCGCCAGGAGCCCTCTCCCCGCCAGGAGCCCTCTCCCCGCCAGGAGCCCTCTCCCCGCCAGGAGCCCTCTCCCCGCCAGGAGCCCTCTCCCCGCCAGGAGCCCTCTCCCGGCCAGGAGCCCTCTCCCCGCCAGGAGCCCTTACAGCTGAATATAGATAAAGACAAAATGTCTGTCTGTACGTCATTCTACATTCCATATTAGATCCTTTGGTTGCAAGCGAAGCTGCAACCGGTACAGCTGGTAAGAAAATAAAATGAATTCAAAAATAGATGCACAGATGGTAAAATATCTACTTCATACTAGATCAGGGTTTACAGCCCTACCAGCTCGATTCAAGTCGATCAATGTTTGAAATCTTGCATCATCATGTAGACTTTTTCCGCTATCCTGCTCCAGTTGTATCTGTTTAATTCGCACCGATTTAAGTGTTGTTTGATTTCTGTTCTTCCCAGTGCATAGATTATACGTGAGCATTCCATTAACAGCGACTGGACATCTTTGTTGCGTTATCTGATATCCTGCCTAAATATGCAATAGAGAATACTTCCTCAATTTAGTTAACGGCAACAGTATCAAATTTAAACCTTTAAATGGCATTCATTGGATAGTTTAGAGATTTGTCCAACAGTAAAACAAAATATCTATCTGATCAGAGAAAACTATGGGGAACTTTGATAGAGTTATTTAAGATCATGATGGATTTGGAAAAAATGAAATCCAATTAAGTTGCTCCGCTGAATACAAAATTTAAGATGTAGAAACAGAATGATACAACACAGAAGCAGAGTACTCTGCCAATCAAGCCTATACTGGAGTTTTCTCCACATTAGCGTCCTAATTTAGTCCCACTATCCTGCTGGTTCCCCAAACCTTCAATTTTTTTTCAAATATCTAAAGAATTCAAGGGTATAGATTCAAAATAACAAAAGGAAATTGGAAATGAGGACCTTTTTTAATAAAGGGTGACTGACACATGGAACAAACTACCAGCAAAGGTGACGCATAAACTGTAAAAGGTTTCAAAAAGTAATTATACAAGTTTGTATCGAATGACGCGATTCAGTGTTATTAGATTTGGAAATAGAAGGAATCTTGTGGGAAATTTAGGACCCAAAATTCTATCAGGACAGCAGAAGAATGCTAGAATTTAAAAAGTTAAGCAACATCTTCCTTTCCTTGATAAATTCAGCAATTTCAAAGGCCTTTTTGGGGGGCGAAAGAAAACATGTGATGGTGCAGACAAAATCTTAATTACACCTAGCCTTTACTCTGCTAATTTGGGCTCTTTTGTTTGCATTAAAACAAGTTTTCTTTTAAATCCAGTACATTCTCAAACATCATCTTAGAAGGAACAGGAACATTGGTTTGGAAAGAAGGTTCAATGGGGAATATGTTCCTTTAAATATATAAACAATTTCCCTCTAAATATGTCTCTTCAAGGTCAAGTCACCAAATGCACACATCACTACTGTTTCTGCTGAACTTGGACAGTAGACGTCTTATGGCAATGGGCCATTCCACCACAGAGCCATGTACCCTTTGACACATGCATTACCCTGCAGAATTTTAGAAACTCAGCTGCACACGTGATAAAGAAGCATTACCTAATAGAATACAGGTTCCTGGATTCCATCAATAAATGTGGATCCCAATCTTGCAAAACACCTTCCCCTTTCCATAAGAGTGGCTATCTTGATGTTATTCCAAACCATTTTGTTAGAGAAACCCTTGCACTTTTTGGATGAGGCTATCAGCAGTGAATATTTCTTCTGTTCCTTTTTTGCCTCAGTTTACAGTTTAACTCACTGCCAGCCTCTTGTTTTTATGAATTTTTTCCACTTTTATAGCTGAAATCAACATGTTGAACAGATTTTCTTCCCCTTTTAAAATGAACAAACACCAGAGCATTGAGTGTATCAGAGGCCAAGTGTCATATTCAAACGTATACATATAATTTGCAAGAGTCAATTCAGGTCAAAAGATTCATACTTAAATACAAGTTATTTGAAATCATGCAGAGACTTACGGGCAAGTCAGCATAGAAGTAGTGCTTTCGGTCAAATAAGGATCTCTTATTAATTGTACAGTTCAGAGCTAAGCCGGTCATCACAGCTCCTTCCACACACCGTTTATTAAGAACCTTTTGAAAATGGAGGAATACAACCATTATAAGTAGACAGACATTTTACTGGGAGGCATTCAATTCAAAAATGTATTCTGCATAAAGGTTCCTTTGGAAGAAACAATACATTCACCATCACAGACCGCACAGCTTTACAATACTGCAGTAACAAGTCTTCTAGTACTGTCGAGGCATTTAAGCTCTAATTCTGTAATGAATCAGCATGATGAACACTACAAATCATCACACTGCTAGATGATTCTTCACAGCTTAGCATTGTAATGCTGCTCACAACAGGATGTGCACGCATATAAAATAATAATGAGATTGGAAGTCAGTGAAGGGCACATGACTGCTTGAGCTGCAGAATGTACAATCATCTACCATATATAAAAAAATCAATTTGGTGTCAAGTCACTTCTGCTGAAATCACTACAAACCAAGAAAACAAAACATACAAACCACTAAAGACATTCAAACCACTAAATTTGTGCAAAGACCTAATTCTGCGAAGAGATTGATGTTTGACCTCAGCAAGCCTTGTTCGACCAATGAATTTGTGTCACTCATTGAGAACAGGACGATTCAATCAAATGAATAAGTGCTCTTGGTTCACTGGTACATTTTTGTTTGATATTCTAAAACATAAGTCACAGTAATTTCAATAACAATTATAGTCTTTTTGTCAAAATCCCTCCCACTCTGCGTCAAAACCCATCTAAAAATCTATATCTTTGACTGCACCTTCGGCAACCACTCCTCTATGACTTCATCTCAGTCTATGTAAAGTACTTTGAGATATTCTGCATGAAAGGTGGTACTTAACTGCGTGGCAAGGCTGGAATTGACAATGCTAAGCAACTTTACTTTCTGAAGTTGGTGCAAATGCACATTAGGGAAGAACTGTATTCCACCTGACCTTGGGAAAGTGTTCAATTTCCTATCATTATGATATCTCAAGTATTGAAGACAACATTCATACCATTTTAGGGCAAGGAGGAGCATTCGTTTTTTTNGATTTTACAACCACTCCTCTCTCCTGGATGGTTTGGCCTAGCTGCGCTCAACTAAAACACAAACCACACACAAACAAAAAATTTCTAGCGAGGGCTTTGTTGTTGTTATTATTGTAGGGTAATGATTGCTACCAGAAACAATGGCTCATTCCACCCCACGTCCTATTTCTCAGAGCACTGAAATAAATTATTGCATTTTACTCCCACCTTGACTAAGGTCAGATAGCTTAGCACTGGAACTGTCTCAATCTATTTTGCTTTAAGGGGAGCTCATTTACCATTGGGGAACTAGAATGTACATTTTAACATGTGTTCCACCTTTGGCATCAAGTTCTGCTAGAAAGTTGAAATTAACGCAACATTGAGACACATTTCCAAAAATACGGTATAGTTTTGACAGGCACTGTAAATCTTAGTCAGCAAGGTGCCAAGCACATGCAGAAACTCATCACCATGCTTGAGTATCCAAACCAGTTTAATATATGTATGCCATATCTGCATGGAAATGTCCCTATGTGTGGAATGGAATGTGCACATTCCTTGGAGGGATGGACCCTGCCTACCTAATTCTGGAGAGTATTAATAATAATAAATGATCCTTGCATTTGATATAGTACCTTATCAGATCTTTGAGATGTCTGAAAGTGCTTCACAGGATATGCTGTGAAGTGGATTGTCTGTGTATTTTGTATTTTGTGGGCAAAAGTGCAGATTTGCAAAAGCCAAGGCTTGGGAACCCCAGATTGTGCATTGGGCACTGCTGAAGTTTAACCAGCTAATACTGCATTGCTTGCCATTGAGCGCACTGTCTGGCAAGCTTCCAGCTTGTCCAGCTGGGACGCCCCAAGGTGACTCTGCTTACCTCGCCTCAAGGATGGTAATCAAACAATGAAGATATGTGAAGGGTCAACTAATGGCAGTGTTAATGAATTCAAATTAATTGGCTGCTTATCTCATTGTTGTTTGTGGGTCCTTGCTCTTGCAGTTTAGCTCGTGAGTTTGCCTATAAAACAGTTTTTACTTAATTTCTCATCAGTTATATTTTGTAAAGTACATTGAGAAATTTATTTTATATGGAAGGTGTTATATACATGCAAATTATTATTGATACTGTACCAAACAGTCTCAAAGGAGTTGAATTTAGGAATTTTTCAGTTAGCTGGTACTTTATGCACTTATAAATATTTTTAAAATAATGGACACCATCAAATGGTCAATTGGCACATATATCAAGGATGGAAGTGCATTTTGTTTCCTTTTTTATTTCCTAGAATTTCAAAATGCTCCACTTTATTTCTAAAACACTTTCTGCAGACATTTCATTTAGCTTCCAGAAAGCAATTTTCACATTAAGCATCTTACATTTTACACATTGATTGAATATTAAAGCTTTGCGTAATACATTTATGCTCATTATTCCGAGCTGATCTCAGTAATATGGGGTGCAATATAAGTAACCTCTGCAATATTTGGCGAGGGAGTGGGGGGGAAAAACACTCATCAGAATTTTGAAGATTTGAAACTTGCAAGAAGGTGGGATTTGTATCAGACATTGCAGCAATTACTGTATATTGAACAATAGTTTTTTTTAATTCTTTTAAGGTACTGATTTAACATGCCCCTCATTCACCAGCTCAACAAACAACAACAACAACGACCTGCATTTATATAGCACCCTTCAATCAGGGTAGCGTCCTGGAACGCTCCGCACATAACCTCTGTCCAAGCATCTGTAATCCTGCCTTTGAACTGGTTGCTATAGGTAGTCCTCTAGCGTGACTTATCCTCTGAACTCTTTCCTTCCCTAAAGGGTAGTAGATAGGTTCCCTCTGCAATTAGTAACATTTGGAAATCATGGTACATGGACCAATAATTATAAACATGAACCACATATACAGACAGAACTGTGTATTACAGCAGCAACATGCCAGTCCCCTGATGGCATTCAGTAATTAGTTTTTAAATTATTGTAAATTGATACTCGTATTCCCTCTCCGGAATTTTGTTTTTCTATTCGTTGCAGCTTTGTCATTTAGACAGCAGCAGGTGGCAAGGTGACATTCCTGAAAATCTTTTCAAAACATTTGGTGTCTGACTGCCCAACAGTTCACATCATTAGAAACCAGCAGGAAAAAAAAGTGCATCATCTATGACAAATAACTTAATCTAGCAACACAAATCTAGTGGGAATTCTATCTCTCGCAGATCATATAAGGGCACCATTAGTTCAAGCTCAACAAATCCAATATAGGGATGTTTTAAAATACTCACCGGTAATGTGCCAGGAAGTGAAGCATCTAAAAATGATACCAATGAATTGGGAGGTGCTGAAAACTGCACCAATGACCCAGAGAAAAGTTTGGAGTTTGAACATATTTGGGCATGAACTTCCAATCCTACAACTCCCACCCATGAGGATTTGCTGGAAGAAAAACAGTTTTTAACAGTGAAATGATGACGATAAATACAGTTCGAACAATAAACAGAAGACAAGTAGCATATATCCAGTCTATAATCATAGAATTTTGTAACAGAGAAGAAAGCCATTTGGCTTATCATGTCTGTGCAGGATCTCTGAAAGTGCTACTCATTTAGTCCCATTCCCTTTTCCCTTGTTTAAATTATTTTGCGTCTTGCAACATTTTTATTAGGCATTCCGTGTCACAATAACACTGTAAAATAAATTTCTCCTCGTCTCTGCTTTGTGATTTTACTGCTGACCTTATATGGAGGCTCCCTAGTTACTAAACAGTGGAAATAGTTTACTCCCATTTATTCTATCAAAACCTGCCATAGCTTTGAACACATCTATTAGACTCCCCTTCAATCGTCTCTGTTCTCACAATAGCCCAGTTTCAATCCATAACCAAAATCTCTCATTCCTGCTAAATCTCTGGTATCCTCTGCATGGCCTTGGCTTCCTTCCTAAAGTAGAAATATAAAAAGCCACATAAAACAAACTATCATTTAGAGGTAATCCAATCCACCCTTTTTATTGAGTGAGACTGTTATGCCAATTAAATATGATAAATATCATATGGATTATAAAAAACAACCTCTCCCCCCCTCCCCCCACACACACCTTATCTGGGTTGAATGTTACACAGGAATGGGGCATAATCTCAACCAGACCTTACAGTACTTTGCTACAGGGTGACTAGACCCTGTATGTCATATTAAACAATAATAAAATACTGGGAAGGGTGGAGGGGCGACTGGGTGGGAGTAAGAGATGCAACAGAACTAAAATGGCCTCAGTGACCCTGGATTAGAGGACAATATGCGAGATTTCAGATCTTGATCTCTACATAGTGCCCCAATGCTCTCTTATTAGTTTCCTACACTCCAATTCAGACTTACTGGTTGTTCCTCGCTCCCTCCGCCTAACTGTCAGTGACTGTCGTTCAGCTATACTACCTATCTGCCTGACATCCTCGCTCCCTGCCTCCAAAAAACTCTCTTTGGCTGTGTCGTCATCCAACATCCTTCACATCCCCAAAAGTGTGCAAATCACATCAGCCAAACAGAAAGCATACATACTGACCTCTCAGTGGCTTGATTTGGAGACTCGTAACATGGTACTACATGCATTACACGCCCAAAAGGCCAAAATAACTAGCGCCATAGGATCTTTAACGCCCACTTCAACAGGCAGACTGAACTTCTGCTTATTATAATTTATCGTTTCAGAATAATAACACATGCATCTGGTTATAGTGCCTTTTATAGTGCCTTTTATTTTATAGTGACAAATTTAGTGTCTTGAGTTCAGTACCAAACGTCAGCGGGATCAATACAATTCTACAGCAGATACACTCGTCAAGAGAAACACAGCCATTAATCCAACAAGCTTCCCCAGTACTGCCAGCGCCGGGGAACTGTGGCTCGCAAAACACCAACACCCGTACCACCGCAAAGCGTAATGCGGGCAAACGCGGCACGGACGACTTTGACCGCACACTGCGATGTCTCAAAAAAAAACCACACACAAGCCACGGAATAAGCGACCACGTTTATTTGGGGGAAGGCGCGACAAGACGCTGTATCGAATGCAAGGGTTATAACAACAACAACAACAGTGGTTAGAGCACTCGCTTTGCAAGCGAGAGACCTGAGTTCAATTCCAGGCAGAGGGCGAAACCTTGGGCAAGTTTCCTTACTCCACACAGAGCCTAATAATAATCCCTCCAAAAAACAAAAACAATAATAAATTGGTCATTTTCAATCTACGACTGTTTGTGGGACATTGCTGTGCGCAATTGGCTGCCGCGTTCGCCCACAAATATACAGTGAATTCACTTTACAGTGTGTTCTGTGAAGCGCTTTGGGACGTCCTCCCGACGTGAAAAGCGCTATATCAAATGCGAGGATTATTATTATTATTATTATTATTATAATAATAATCATCGTCATCATTATTACTATTACTGTTGACCAGATTGACACGGTTTAGGGATATAGTGCCGTGGGATCTTTAACGTCCACCCGCACAGGCAGACGGGACCTCGGTTTAAGGTCTCATCCGAAGGACGGGCGTCTCCGCCAATACATCCCATCCCATCCCATCCCGACACTGCCTGGAGTCTCAGCTTAGACTACGTGACGCCAAGTCCCGATGTGAACCCACAACCTTCTGACTCCCTCTCTATAAATAATCCCCACCGCTTGCAGGTGTTGTCCTCAAATTACCTTTCCTCTCTGCCCGGCGCTGCGGCTGCGGCTGCGGCGAGCGAGGCCGAGCGCGCGCTCTGACGGAAGACGGTTAAACGGCCGCCCAACGGTCGCAGCAGCAGCGCGACCTGCGCCATGACAGCCGCACGCACCACGTGTCCGTCCGTCCCACGCTCGCTCGCTCGCTCGCTGGGAGTTGTAGTGCCGACCGCAACCCGCGCCTGCGCTGTGAACTCGCCGCTGAACTACATTTCCCAGCAGGCCACGCGATCACCCCCGTCGTTGCTTGGCTTCTTGAAGGGGGGGGGGAAACAACAACAACAACAACAACAAAATTACATCTGTAAAGCGCCTTTCACGTCGAGAGGACGTCCCAAGGCGCTGGACAGACACAGTTACGGACCCGAGCTGAGGGTCGGGGGAAGGGAAGCAGTGAGATCGAAAACACGATCGAAGAGGAGGGTCTTGAGTTGGGTCTTGGAGTGGGGGGGGCGAGGGAGTGGGGGGCGAGGGAGGGACTGCGGGCGTAGAGTGGCAGACGGCCCACCCACCAATGGTGGGACGAGCAAGGCGGGGGGGCACGTGAAGCAGGCCGGAGCCCGCCGAGCAGAGGGAGAGACCGCCATGCTGTTCTGATAAAGGGAAGCCCCGGTCGGCGCAAGCTGTCGCCGTGTGCCGGCGGCCGTGCAAACCCCACAGCCTGGCTCACTCTCGCCTCTCAGGCGGACAGGAGATTGTGGGTTCAAGCCCCGCGTCAGGACTTCAACTCACGTGGTTGCTGCTCCATTGCTGGGCTCGGGGGGGGGTTTGGGGTGTTGCCTTGCCAGACGTGCCGACCCCTCGTTTGGATTGTTAAACCGAGACTTGTCTGCCTGTTCAGGTGGACATTAAAGGTCCTATGGTGCTCTCGCACGTTTGATGCGAAAGGCGCTATGTCAACCGCAAGAATTAATATTGTTACTTAATGCAGGAGGATGCCACAGCTGTCTAATAATTAATATTATCCTTGCATTTGATATGGTGCCTGATCATGTCTTCGAGACGTCTCAACGTGCTTCACAGGATATACTGTAAAGTGGATTGACTGTATTTTGTGGGCGAAACAGCAGCCAGTCGTACCCAGCAATGTCCGATAATGTCCATCCAGCCATGGTAGTTTTATTTGGGGAGCAAATTTTTATTTGGGGAGGCCAGGACATAAGGAACAACTCCCTTCTCTTTTCAAATAGTGCGATGGGATCTTTACAGGACCTCAGTTTAACGTTTCATCAAATGGATGGCATCTCCAACAATGTAACACACCTCCATCATTGCATTGGAGCATCAGCTTCCAAAACCCAGTGTGGGGTTTGAACACACCACATCCTGGCAGAGGAGACTGCTACCAACTGAGCCAAACACCCGTGTACCCCTTCATGGGAATATTGCGTATACATTGTTTAAAACAGATAATGGCTATTTCATTGGTGTAACACAGACATTGTGAAAAACTTCTAATAGCTAATGGGGGATTCCAGCCCTGATCCTAATGTTGAAATTTGAAAGTCTTTCAACATTTTTAAAAAAAATCAAAAAAAAATTCCATTAAAATTGTTCTTACCAAAATCCAGCACCCTATTTAAAATTGGGGACTTTTTAAAATCCCTGAAAAAAAATTCTACTCCTAGAAACTCCCCCACAAAGTAATGCACACATGATCCAGACATTAAGTTTAGAAGATGGTGATAAGTCTAACCATAAGGTATGTGTAATAAACTTAGGCCACCTGGGCATAACAGTGGGAAACCAGAAGTGTGGCTGGAGAGTCTGAAGTGCGGCCAAAGAACCTGGAACAACACAAGATAGGCTGAAAGTTGTACAAAACAGGCTATATCTTGTGAGTTTTGAAGGTGGTACAAGATCACAAATGGCCATTTAAAAAATAGCAAAATGTGAATCTTGTAATCAAATCCTGAAAAGAGGGGAACTCTGCACCTTGTCCAATTTTTTTGTATATGAGCTTTTGACAGTGAATGTTGACTTTTTTTTGACCTTCCACACTTCCACACATAGTAAGGGGCAAAAATATAAGATGGACACTAATAAATTTAAAGAGGAGTAACATTTTTATACAGGTGGTGAGAATGTGAAACTGACTGCCAGAAGCTGTGGTTGAAGCAGAAAACAACAATACATTTAAGAGGAAACTTGGTACATACATGAGAGAGGAGGGAATGGAGCAGTATTGGTGGAGGTTAGTGAGGAGGCATTAGGATGGATAAAAGCTCATGTGAAATATAAATACCAGCATGGACTTGTTGAACCAAATGACATGTTTTGGTGCTGCAGATTCTATCTAATTCTATGTAATATGCTTCTAGGAGAGGATCTGCATGATATGATCCATGAACTATTATTAGTTATTTTTAAATACTCATAGCTTGAGCCAACCAAACTGAAATCACTCAAAGCAAACCACAAGTCAAATCTTGGACATTCTTGGACTGTATGATGCAGTGCCATTAAGCAAGTAGCCTCCCAGGGCAGATTTTTTTTTCAATTGCCTCGTTTTTAGCCCAACATTTGATTTTTCCATAAACTATTATTTTCACATTATACCAGTTATGCAATGGTGAGATCAATATTAAAGGAGCAAACTACAATATCAATGTTAATATTGCCACAGACATCCAGTATATTCAGAGGTGAACAGCTCTATTATTCCCTTTTTTCACAAACAGGATCCTATTCTGTCCAGGAACTGTTGTGTTCTGAAGTTAAACAGTCGTAAAGAATGATTGCTTTTGCTGACAGCCCTTGTCACAAATCCAATAGCTTTGTGGGGAGGGGAATACTTTGTAGTTTCAATTCAGGATTGATAATTTGTGTGTTTGTGTCCTCCAGTTATCTTGTATTGGAGGCCCAGGCTGCGGCATGCTGCAAATGCACACTTACCTCCTAACTTGACCCTGTTTCTATACAGAAACATTACTATCTGAACCAACATACAACAAGAGATTGACCAGAACTGTCAAGTTAAAAACATATTTTTGAAGTATATTTTCTTACCAATATTTTATTCAAATTTATTTTTGAAGAAATATTGCTAAGTAACAGTTTTATTTTCTAGCTATATGACATGGAATACTGACTTGGGAACACACACAGAATAGCAAGGAAATGAGTTTGTGCTAATGATTCCTCATGGCTACTGATCTCAGATACATCACTCGGCAGAAGGAGGTAGAAATAAATTGGCTTGTCAGTCACTCTGAGCTGTATTTCTTAATGATAAGGAACAGGGCAACTAAAATGACACGAGATATTAAAAATACCAAATCACAAATATATAAAATGAATTTTAAAAAATCTTGCATTTGATATAGTGCCTAAAACTTTGAAATGTCTCAAGGAGTTTCATGGGTACTTTCTGTAAGGTGTAGCAGTAGTGACTGTATTTGTGGGGACATGAGGCAACCAATTTGTCCAAAGCAAGGTTCCATAAACAGTTATGTAGTGAATTTGATTTTTTTTTCTGGAGCATTGTTGGCTGGGTCACTGAGACTTATCGTATCTTTTCCCCCTTATCTTTTCAAATAGTGTAGTCAGAATTGAACCCAGGTCTCTTGCTTGTGAGGCGAATGCTATAACATTGAGCTACCTGAACTCCATGAACTCCCATGGCTTCCAGTTTCGTCATGAGTGTCTCATGAGGTACGAGATCGAAAGCCTTGTGGAAATATATCAGCGTTCTGCAATCTCATACAGAGCCACAATCTGCCCTTCACATTCCTCATGGGAATGGAAGCCAGTCTGGTCCTTCCTGATCAAACCACGAGCCTCAGCATTAAGCCATCCGCACCAGCTGCCTTGCCATTGGCGCCACAGTGCGGCGTCCACTTCTTCCCAGCACATTGGGTCATTAAGGCCTTCAACCTGGACCATGTCTCCTGCCAGCTCTTCCAGCCCCCATGCAGTTGGGTCTCTGCTATGACCTGTTGAGTTAGACACCAACTCCACGTAATGTCCCCGCCAGACCCCAAGGATACCCTCATGCATCTGTTGTAGAACACCAGACTTGCCGGATACTGGTACAGGCCCAAAGGCGGCAGACGATAGACTTCAGGCAATGGAAGAAAGATTTGGGATCGTGCTTGTGCAATTGCGCCCCCTATCAGAGTGACGCAGCCCATTGATCTCGCTTCATTTCTCTGATGACTTTCCTAGCTTTGTGCCGTGCTCAGTCGTAAGTTGCCTTTGTTGCAGTTCTAGTTTGCTCCGAGAAGGCTTCCAGAACCACTGTGAAAGCATTCTTCTTTCTCCTAATGGCTCTACTTCACTTTATCGTTACCCGAACCGGGACCTGCTTTTGAGAGGGGTGCCTTGCAACCTGTAGCTTCAGTATCTTTACAACCTCAGCTGCAAAAGCAAGAAAGTCATTGGCTACCTCAGCAATCATCAAGTCTGTGCTGTCAGCACTCATAAAGAATTGGTCCCAGGCTTCATGTTCACCACTACTCCTCACTTGCTGGAGTACCTTGGTACGATCGCTCGTAACACAAGGCATACCTACAGCTTCAACCTGACAATCACCCCATGTCACAGGGTCAGTACTCCACCCTAGAAGAACTAGGGCTGCCCTCTTTGACACTGAAGGTGAATAGCAGTGGTCAGAGGTTTCTCAGCGACATTGAACAGCGCAATTGGAGAGCATAGGACGTGCTGATCCACTCATCACCACATGATCGATTGCTGTTCCGTTCTGCACTCCACACCGAGGCCATGTAAAATTGGTGAACCTCGGAACGGAAGCAGAGAGCATCGCTCCACCTTTGAAGCTCCAGTTTTGACATGTTCCAATCTCCCATAAAGAGCAACGGACATTCAGGGAATGTGTGAGGCTATCCAGTGAGGTTCCCACGTCCTTAAGGTTATCCGGTGAGGTGCCCCCGGCGATCAGCACCAGCAGCTTTTGGGGAATTGAATGTACACTGATCCTACAAGCAAGAGTGCAGATCCCCTGAAGAATATCTTTGCCCATTGAGTTTAGAAGAGTACACTCTGATTTCCACTGCCAACAGGATTCCCACCCCCCACCGCCCCCCACCCGCAAATAGTGTAATGAGACCTTTAATAGCCACATGAAAACAAGCAGAATTTATTGGAAGGATTGGAAGGATTATTA